TCTGGCAGGTAAGAAACGCATCTTGTATCAAGCAATGACTGATATCAAAGAATAAATGATAGAGGGGTTGATTCTGGAACAATCGACTGCGGCATCATTGTTTTGGAGCACCGACCAAACGGAGAAAGTGATCGCTCGCCTTATTAGCTTTGGTACTTCGCAAGACATTATGCAACCTTTTCCTTTTTTTAAACAGAATTGCAGAGAACCTTCTCAACTCCGATGCATCCTTGAAGGAACAAGGCGTCGCATACTGTGGTGCGCTTATGTTGATCGCGGCTCTCGTTCGAATACTAAACTGACTCGCATAAACTAACAGGAAGGATATGGAATATTTTACGTAAGTGACAGGATCAGTGCTCCGAAAATTTAGTTTTAATTTGCTGGAAAGGCCATCACCAGTTTCTCAACTACTATGGTTTTCCAGAAGCTCGTCTGATGCGGACCCATTCAATTGAGGGAAGCAAACGAAACCGAAATATCCGTTTTTTATCTTTGCTATCGACAGCTGCAATGTTTGGTGTTCCAGTGATGGTATTGGAGCATGTTGAAAAACTTCACGTTGACGGTATTGTCAATCTGCTTGATATCAAGAAATTCCTTGACCATTTCAACGACGATAACATAAAGCACAGCACTCTGGTATGTGATTTACCATCAACGTACACTTTTCTGATATTCGTGTCCTTGTTCTTTCCCACTGCCCAGGCGGGCGTTATCATGGCAGTAGATGCTAGCATACTTGCTATTCCGAATATTGGTTCCCAAGTAACAACAAGAACACTATGCTCTCTTTCACTTATCCTTAGCGTCCACTGCATTTTTGCGGGCGTTGTGGCACAACACTTTGGGCAGAAGATGAAGTCTCTTCAATTTGCCGTGCGCTCAAGTTCAATAGATTATTCTTGCGGTTATTTTCTCACCCGAACATTTTAACAGTCTCATAACTTGCAATACCACTTTACGAAGGTTGCTATCATCTATAGCGCTCCTAGTTTGTTGCGAACGACAAGGTATTTTCTCACTCACTTGAATCTATCACAATAGTGATGAATATGTGTTATTCAATAGCGTAGCATTATCTACTCTGGGCCTTTTAGCTGGTATTTTCACAGTGCCAGATCGGTCTTTGATAACAACCATACCGTGCATGATCACCATGGTTTTCGTTGGAGGATTTTTGACTTGGTCTTCAGTTTCCATTTCTCGTCAACATCTAATGCACGGGGTTAGAACAATGTCTTGATTTCACAAGAAATCATCGCAGTCAATAGATTTCAGAAAAACTTCGTGTAGATTGTAATGAGATCCGTGCTATTCACTTAGTATCTGAGCACCTCAAAGCATCAATGAGCCCTTTCTCATCAATTATATTACTGGAACTCCTCATTCCTGAGCCAAATATCTAAATCTTGTTAAGTAGCGGTGTATAGCCAATTAATTTCATTGTTTTTGTCTCTCAAGATAAAGATTTGTCACAAATGGACTGTAACTAATAGCAATAAAACACTCCTTAAAGGTGAAAGTCATTTTATATATGAAATTCAGATACATATTAGGGGATATGGTAATCGGCGTCAGACACTAGTAATGATACAACTACTTTTATGGTGATTGCAAGCTTGGTATAGTATTATATAACGAAAAGTATCAGAAATATCGAGATTTTTGTGTAGTGGGTAGCACATCACATATGATTGCATATCATTTGCTTCTTTTCTCGTGTCTCTGTGAAAAGTAAGACCACTGTGAAATTATAGGACCTTTTTCTATATCCCTTAGGGTTAGCTATGGGTTTTTTTAAGGCTTTATAGATAATGACACCTCCACTGGAACTGTTCCAGTGGAGGTTAGTTAGATTAGTGAGTTGGTAAGATTGCCTCTGCTGGAACTGTTCCAGTGGAGGGTTAGTTAGATTCAGATGTCTCTGCTGGAACTGTTAGTTAGTTAGTTAGATTAGTTAGATTCAGATGTCTCTGCTGTAACTAGGTTAGTTATTTAGTTAGATTAGTTAGATTCAGATGTCTCTGCTGGAACTGTTAGTTATTTAGTTAGATGGTCAGATGCCTCTGCTGGAACTGTTCCAGTGGAGGTTAGTTAGATTGTCAGATGCCTCTGCTGGAACTGTTCCAGTGGAGGGTTAGTTAGATTGTCAGATGCCTCTGCTGGAACTGTTCCAGTGGAGGGTTAGTTAGATTCAGATGTCTCTGCTGGAACTGTTAGTTATTTAGTTAGATGGTCAGATGCCTCTGCTGGAACTGTTCCAGTGGAGGGTTAGTTAGAAGGTTAGATCATTTTATTTGGTTAGATTGTCAGATTACTGGAATTGTTCTAGTAGAGGTTATATTATTTCATTTGGTTAGATTATCAGATTACCTCTACTGGAACAGTTCCAGTGGAGGGTTAGTTAGGTTAGTTAGATGCCTCTACAGACTGAACATTGATGCCATGACACATACAATGACAAGTTGAACGACAACAAACAAACATGCAATCTGTCTTTTAAAATGTGCTTTACATTAGTATAGTGTCAGTAGATATGAAGCACAATATATTATTATACACCAGATCTACCTCAAAGTCCTTGGAATCAATAAACTCCTGCACTGCATTAGGGTTAGTTAGAGTTGATGAAATGGATCCTGTGCATCAGATCACCGATGGACCACCAAAAATTTGAATACATGACTCACAGAAAAAGATCAATCTTGGCTCGTTACACAATGTCAATAATGTGCATAGGATTTTCAACCTCCTTGCACCATCTCAGGTAACCAGGCCAAGCCATTTGTTGAGCCAATAGACATGGTAGCTTGATATCTTGTTCCTCAATCTTGATGAGGGTTAGTTAGGGTTAGTGCTGAGCACGTATCCTGCCAATCTTGCAGATAACTCATATGGTACTGAACCTTGCAAAGTTAGGGTTAGTCTAAGTACAAGGCATTTACGGATATCCATGGCTATGCATCCACAAGTCAAATTTCTTGCATTATATATGGTATTATTTAGTAGGAGCAGAATTGTATCTTTCTATAGTTCATCAGTAAATTCACACATTCCTTAACATCCTTTTTCGCCACTTGTCACGAAAATCTTCAAATGTTGCCGCTTATTATTGCTTATTCACTTGTCATTTTTTTTTCACAAGCACTCACAAGTAAATGCGTGATTCACAAGTGCCCACAAGTGCAACAAGTGCCGAAAGCAAGGAAAACAAAAGTGTGTTGTAGATTACAAGTAAATACAATGTTACAACTATGAATAACATGCAAGGCCGCTCGCAGCAGCACTCCTTGAACATTCGCAAATGAGGTCCACAGAAACCCGTACCGGTATAGCCTGTCACAAATCAGCCATATGAAAATGATTAGTATGAATTCACGTACCTCCAGGCCCCAGGGAAAGATGTCCAGCCGAAGGAATCGAATTGCGACCAAGCTCGATGTCATGCCAGCAGGTCGAAAGATCTGTTGGGAATTGTGCCAACCGTTGACGGCACTAGTAGGAACACGCACCAGCCCTGTGAAAGCAGTGGCTTACGATGACATCCAAAACATTCAAGTCTAACATTTGTGTATGTTAGTTTATTCCCACATTCTCACATGACTTTCAAAATGGTTCAACCGTTCCTCGTTCTTCGACACAGTGACATAGTCGATGCCTTTCTTCCTTTGCTCTGCCACCTCATGTAGGTGGATGGATATATCCCTTTGGGCTATAGCCCTAAAAGTGTGATATATTAATCAGTCTAATTATCCATGATCCAAATGGATGTATCCCTTGGTGGATCCCAAATGCTAGCATACACAGCCGCATCTTTTGCATTTTTGAAACTCAGCCATTTTTCATTCCAGGATGTGTGGTAATTCTCCCACATTATTATTTAGGGTTACCGAAGTTCAGTCCAGAACCTAGGGTTCGAACCTGAACCCCTGAACTGGACCTACAGGTTCAGGTTCAGCCCTTGGGTGTGGGGTTAGTTAGGGTTCAGGGCAGAGGTAGCCTCCCTGAACTTGGTTTGAACTGGTCTGAACCTGTTAGGGTTAGTTAGACTCTTGTTTGCCAATATTCAGTGGCTTTTGCAGCAGTGCTAGACAGTAATTACCATATTTGATCAGGCAAATAACTTGAATTTTTTTTGGCCAACAACCCTCAAACATTTGTCTACACAATGTCCAACGCTGATGAAAGTCAGTGTGCATCCAATCCAGATGGAACTTTAAAGGATGCATCTGAAATCACATTCTACGAATCGACGAGACACCTATCAACAAAAATTCCGTAACATCGAAGATACCAGCTGAATCAGGTAATCCTATGTTAATTGTACTATTCTCATCGCATTAACTCTATCTACATCAGCTCTGAGTCAGCTTGTTATCCATTCAGCCCTCACAAAGTCTGGCGCTATACCTGCAGCAAGAGTAGCTGGTAGCCATGTTCAAAAACCAGCATGGAAGCTCACCACTCATGAAAATGCTGCATCATCATCATCTGTAACAAATCACAAACGCAAATGTCAGTTGTTGGATCCGAACGATTCTGAACTAGCGCGCAAGACTTCTCGTATGTGCATCGACTCAGAAGATGAGTCCCATGACCCTCCCACATCTGTTCTCGAGCAAGATGCAGATGGTCACAATGACACACAACTGGAGGTTGAAGATGACAACACCTTGAAGTCTTATGCAGAGATTCAGGATGAACGTTGCACTGAAATGCAGGTTAGGTCTTGTCATTTTTTGTTTTAAGGTCAAGTAATCTAACATTCGTTTGCATCCGTTTGCACACATTTGCACTCACATCTGCACCCTGCAGGTTAGTTTTTTATTATCTTTACATCTATAATACTGATTTCAATCCTTTATCTCATTCATTTGCGTTTGTTTGCTCGCATTTGGGTTCACACTCACGTCCTGTCCTCATTCTCGTTTGTGTGTGAAACGTTTGCGCTTTTCACTCGCATCCTGTCCTCATTCTTGTTTGTTGCCTGGACCTCAATGGCATATGACCCCTACCTCGGTATCACTGCTCACTACATTGATGCACCCATAGATAAGCCAACCGACTGGGAACTCAAGTCGAGGACCCTTGCCTTCACTGGCATTGATGGTGATCATGGTGGTGCCAATATGGCTCGCATCATTACCAGAGTCGTTGACCACTATGGTCTTGCTGGTAAGTTAGGATGAGTGATGTCTGATAATGCCTCTGCCAATGATAAGGCAATGAAAGTATTGCAGTGAGAATTTGATGACCCTAATGGCTGTTGTTGGCTGGCAAAGGAGTGTCGAGTTAGGTATGTGGCTAGTTTTGTCTAAGTTTATTGTCGAGTAACTGTGGTGGCAGGTGTATGGAGCACTCAATGCACCTTGCAGCAAAGGCATTCCTTGAAGACATCTGTCCAAACCCAGCTCGTATCAAGTCAAAGTCAAAGTCAAAAGGTAAATTGAAGGGTTAGGGTGAGGTCGAGGTCGAGGATGATGAAGACTGGGTTCATGCTATGGAGCTTGAGGAGCCTGCTCTCGAGGGTGAGGAAGTAGATGAGGTAGAGTAGTTCGAGCCAGGTGACCTTCTTGGCAAGGTGCTGGCATTGATCACTCAGGTATCTCTTTTTTTGTTGCTTCTAATGATCTAACCTATGTTTATAGGTTAGTCTTTTGCCCCAAGCAAAGACATACTTTGCCACGATTTGTAAGAAGGAGGGCCTAGCCCCACTCCAGCTTATCAAGTGGATTCAAACTCGATGGGGCTCCATGTGTGACCTCATCGAGCGACTCATTGTCAATTGTACAGTATGGGTTATTTTCCTAAGTTAGTTCACTTGCTAATTCTCCTATGAGGCTGTTGATAAGTTGTGTGCTATTGCAGACCGTTCTTCGAAGGTTCCAAAGCTCAAGGGTAAGAAGTATGCTGACTATGCAATCACTGATGAGGAGTGGAATATGCTGTCCCTCATCGAAGAGGTGTTGAAGGTTAGTGTGACACCTTCTTTAATATCCTTGTTGATATCCTATGATGTAGGAGCCTCGAGATGCCCAGTCAATGTTCTCTTCTGAGAATCAGCCCACTGTGGGCAGGACTATCCCAACTCTTGAGACACTTCAGGAGTGCTGGGTGAGGTTTGCAAGTATGCTGAAGTTCATAAAGCTCAAGACTGCCTTGAACAAGGGACTCAAGAAGCTGAAGAAATATTACCGCCTTGTTGACCAGAACAATGTCTCTTTTATTAACTTAGGTAAGTTATATCTTGCCTAGTTTTTTTTCTGACTGTTTCATGTTCTAGCCTTGGACCCCAACTTCAAGCTCAAGTATACAAAAGAACAGTGGGACCCAGAGTATTATGATGCAGGTATGATTTTACTCAAGGAAGTGGTAAGTTTTTTTAGGCTATGATGTGTCCAGCCCTAAGAACTATGCTAGTTTAATGTATATGCAGCCAATGCTGCATCAAATGAAGTACTAGAGGTTTCACCTCCAAAACCTGGTAAGCATTAGTTAGTTAGTTAGATACCACTACTTCTAATGTCTCCCTCAGATTCACCTATCAAGGGGGGTGGATATGGCTCTACCATGATGCGTAAGGTAATAAAGGCCCATATGGACTGTGAACCACGTGGCCATGACTCCCACCAAGAGCTCAAGCATTATCTTAAGAGCCCTCTTGAGACTGTGGATGATTTGGTTAAGTGGTGGGGTGTACTGTGGGAATTTCCCCACTACACCAAAAACATCACCTATTGGGAATCTCCACAATATCAATTATTCCCACACCCTTCCCCACCTCACTGCAGCTTCACCACCACACCACAATAGGTCCCTGTGCATATATAAGTAGTAGTTTAGTATGTATATGTATAATATAATGTAATAGACCACTTTTTATCCTTCTACATCAGCAAAAACCTCCTTTTAATATCAGCGAAAATTCAATCAGATTTTACCGAAGGTAGAAAATCATGTACCATTTTCTCAAATGTGTGACAATAAGATACAATATTCAACCAATTCGACTAATGTGATAAATGGCCCATAGAATTTGCAAAATTGAGAGAAAATTGTTTGGTACATTGGTACTACTAGTAGTCATTTTCGACCAATAAATTATAATTTTATAGCATATGATTATGCTAATTTATGTATGCTGTGAGTGACATGTTGGACTTCCAACAGATGAATGAGCCTAACTTGCCCTCTCGCACCCGGTGTCTGATTTCAGCATCCAATGGTTCAACGTTCAACGTTCAATCACGGACTTACACTATTTGATTTGGTTTGGGGCTGTCAGGTATCAGGAGATAGCGGAGTGTGTCAAATTTTCAAGTCAATGTTTCCGAGTCACCCGCCACTGATTTCTTTCTGATCTCACTCTCACAGTGTCACTCCACATAGTCCATCAGATTTAGTATTATGTCCCTGTCCTAAGTGCAACTCATGCCAACTGAGAAGGCTGCAACCATGCGAGCTGCAGAGTTGAGAAGGAAGGATCATGCACTGGTGGATGTTAACGATTCCAAGTCACCTGTATGTTTCCTGGTCATCAGATAATTTTTTTTACTGATCACTGAACATTTCATCTTCAATGTTCACATGTACGAAGGCCTCAGCAGCCACGAGTCTGCAGTGATATACCATATTCCATCAGTACCTATCCAGTATGTATCATCTGAACGGCTTCTTCTTCATTCTGACTTGAAAGCTTAGTGTCGACGTTCTGGGTAAGCTGATCCTGATCTTTGTTCGTCTGCCGTTAAACTTGTTTATTCAGACACATATTCACTCTGCCACTTTCACAGTTACGACTAGCACGATCCTAGGCATCCCTGTCTGCCCCTCGAGGTCAAGCAGTGTTCTATACTTCATGTCGTTTATTTTCTTATTTGTGTTTCAACTAGGTATGTTGCTGGGGACTAGGAGGATTGATTGCGAATGCATGCTCACTAACACTTGCTCCAGTATTGATCACTCTCACACTCACATGTGCCATCCAGAGCTGGTGGTCGACAAAGGGCCCTCTGCAAGCCATCTTGGTGAAGCATAATGTATTCTACTATGTACGCGGTCTCTGTGAGTCGGTGAAGGTTCACCTATACAGAGAGGAACAAATGAGGCTCCTGACTGTATCTATAAATGTTGTAAGGTCGCGCATTGCCTAGTCTACTATACTTGAGATGACAAGTGTGTTTGACCCTAAAGGGGAAGCAAGTGCAGCAAGGATCTAGAAGTATGCGCTGAAGGCGCTACTGGTTGGCTGATGTGAAGCATGGGAAAGTGTAGGTGCGCGCAAGGCGCGGGAAAGCAAAGGTGCATGCGAGCCGTGGGAAGCGCACGTGAGCGGAAATGAGAGAGAGTAAGATTGAGTTTGCTTAAGTGATGATTAGATACTAGACAAGAGGTGAGAGATGCAAGCTGAGAGGTGAGAGATGCGAGGTGCCAAGGAATAGATTTCAACTATCTTCTGCTAGGTAGTAAGTGGGTGAGTCAGTAGGTAGGTTCCGTGAGCAATATTATGTACTGCTGGCACTTATATATGGCGCCTAAGTGCTGTCATGCAGAGCCGAAGAGCTACCGAGTGAGGTATGTAAAGATATATGTAAGTAAGGGTCCATGATAAAAATAAAGGTGGAACGATACACAGATAAGAGAAATAGAAATATATGCACTAGAGAACTTGGTGGACAGTAGATGGATGCATCTGGATGGCTGGTGCTATAGGGCGCTCAAGCGCGGGAAAGCGCGCCCCTAGTGACAACTGCCATATCACACAATGAGAGGCATGAGTCTCTACATCAGGACTTTGCATGTTTCATGTTTCCATACTCACCTCAATCAGCAGCACGCCATCAATGGGGACATCCAATGTGGTCGATGAAACTACGCCAGCAATGTCTGCGCACCAACTAAGTGGCCTTTCCCTTCCAAATTCTTCTACTGGATGTCTGCCTTTGTTTTGACACCCTTCACTAGCAATTGGGCATTGTCCAAGGCCGGAACATTACAAAACAGGACATTGCACGAGCACATTCTGCTACTACTGATCAGCACAGCGCCATGGAGTTGAGGGTATAGCGGAGGAATGATAAATAATGGTCATTCATTTGTATTTTCTAGATTTCATATTCAATGATATTTGTTTGATGGTATGGGATCAATTGGACAATGGCCTGAAAATACTGTTCTTATTGTCGTGAATTGAGATCCAATTGGCGAAAATCTTCAAGGGACTAAAATAATTTGTTGAATGCTCGCAGATTGACACAAATTGGATCACATTGGATCCGATTTGAGAACGAGGTTTTCCCTAATGTACAGGAACAAAAATATAGAAAATTGCATTTTTGACACTTTTGATGTTTTTCAGTATCTTACTCTTGGATAAATAATGCAACCTATTCATATATCATTAGCATAGCATATATACTTGCTTTGTATGACAAGAATCAGCTCAAAATAGGCTGGAGTTTTGAGCTAGTGTAGATGCTTGCTATTTCTACTGATAAGGAGCCCATACTTTCAAAGCATTGAAATCTAATAATCAGACACTTGGAGTAGATTTCAAATACATTCAGTATCATAGGTCTGAATTTAAAAAACAATCCAACAAGAATTGAGTGCTGGGGAAGTGAAATAGATAAGAAATTGAGTGTAGGAAAGTTCAAAGACCCAAAACATCGAAAATGGTCAGTTGGGCAGTAGTAGAACTTTAATGCTGGGTCAACTCAAATATACACCGCATCCCTTCCACCACCCTCTAACCTCAGGGCACTATGTAGTATGGGTTCCTTCAGTAGTCTACCATGTATCCTATACATTTTTAATGAAATATTTGAGCTGTACCATATATAAATCACTGCAGGCATTTCCCCATTTTCCTCCACCAAACATCCAAAAAACATTGATTGAGAAGATAGAATTTTCCCTTCATTTTGTCTGTCAAAACATTGAAAAAAAGTAATTCATGTTTCAATGATTTTCTGTGTGTGAGACATGATGCAAAAATTGATCATGTTCCTTCAAGGATAATGCTGTATTTTCCTCCTACTGTCTTTTAAATGACAGCTTAAAATAATGTTAATTTTCTTCTCTGTGTTGTTCAAATATACACAGAACATTTAAAAAACATAGTATATTTGAAAAACATGGAGAAGGAAATTAACATTATTTTAAGCTGTCATTTAAAAGACAGTAGGTGGAAAATACAGCATTATCCTTGAAGGAACATGATCAATTTTTGCATCATGTCTCACACACAGAAAATCATTGAAACATGAATTACTTTTTTTCAATGTTTTGACAGACAAAATGAGGGGAAAATTCTATCTTCTCAATCAATGTTTTTTGGATGTTTGGTGGAGGAAAATGGGGAAATGCCTGCAGTGAATACAACTTTGTGTGAAAAGATATCAGTTGTCACTTTTCACACATATGTCATTTTACTAGCCATTCAGTCAGTCCTTCATGGATCTTTCTAAAACTTTAAATCTATCTTCAGGGACATATATGAGAGGTATCTGAGGTCTTTGATCACTTATCACAGGCTTGATTACTATGTAGGCCTCTTATCAGTAGAAATACCTCCTGTACATTAGATATCAATGCTCCGGCCTATTTTGAGCTGATTCTTGTCATACAAAGCAAGTATATATGCTATGCTAATGATATATGAATAGGTTGCATTATTTATGCAAGAGTGAGATACTGAAAAACATCAAAAGTGTCAAAAATGTGATTTCTATATTTTTGTTTCTGTAGAAGGATCCTATGTGTGTACTGGTCCAGCTATATAATAGATCTACTACAAATATACATAGAAATAGACCCCTCACCTCAATTTATGTCCAGTCCTGCAGGAAAACTTTTCACAGGGGGTAAACCACCAGGAGAGAGGGGGCACACCATGCAACAAGGTATTCTCCTATAGTCCTGAGCTCCTGATACATTGTTCCTATTGTTGAATAGATGCTGGGAACAATTTTTGCAAGTCTATTAACCCAGAAACCAAAAAATGCAAACCTATTTTGTGTTTTCATGTATATATGCTGTATTTATTTATGTAGGACGCTTCAGGGGGTCAAATAAAGATGGGAATCTACTCATATATGCTCATAAACATGTTCTAAACATCACAGAACACCTCCCTATCAAAGGGGCAAAAATGCGAAACTGTGTTCTAACCTACCCTATGTTGAAAGGGCCCTAGAGGAGGAGCAGGCACACAAATAGACAAAAAAAGTGGTCTATTACATTATATTATACATATACATACTAAACTACTACTTATATATGCACAGGGACCTATTGTGGTGTGGTGGTGAAGCTGCAGTGAGGTGGGGAAGGGTGTGGGAATAATTGATATTGTGGAGATTCCCAATAGGTGATGTTTTTGGTGTAGTGGGGAAATTCCCACAGTAGGTGGCCAAAAATGCAGTGTGGGGATAATGTGGGGGGGCCCTGATATGAGAAGCAATCTATTTTTAACTGATGTAGGTACAGTTGGAAACCCGCTGATATCTCGGCAGGAAACACTAAGTGAATCGAACAATGAATAATAGGACAAAGCCATGAATTTCCGAAGTGTGATATAAAAGAGCAGGTAATGGTAAGTGGTCAACCCGAGCGTAAGTGAACATGACATTTTGCATGAGGATATAAAGGGGCGATCATGTGATGTGTGTTGACTTAAGCGTGTTGTAAGCAATCAGCTTACACTCTCCCTCCTTTTGAAAACATTTCTGTCTCTCTGTAGCTCTTTAGGACGTCCGTGTCCTCCAGCTCTTTTCCTGCTATCCATACGTCCCCTTCTGGGCCGAAGCCGCGCCACTGTACGAGGTATTGGAAGGCGCGCCCTCTTGTCTTGTGGTCAAGTATCCTTTCTATCTCCCATTCTTCTGCGCCTGCTGACGTGATTACAGGCACGGGTTTCTGTTGGATCCTTGAGGGGTACAGGCTCTCATTGTTTGCGATGTGACATTTGAGTTCAGAGGCATGAAACGTAGGCAAAATGTTAGTGTGTGCAGGCATATCTAAGGTATAAATGGAAGACTTAGGGTTCGCTGAGATGATTTTGTAGGGTCTGTCGTATCTGGGCATGAATTTTGCCACATGTTTCTCATTTCTGTTGAGATATTCCCGTCTTCTGTGGGCGGTTGACAGGTATACCTCATTTCCAATGTCGTATGTTGGTTCTCTCTCTCTATGTATGTTCGCAGTGTTTGCTTGGCTGATCTTGGCTGATCTTGGCAGCTAGCATGGAGTCATGTGTGTCTGATATATCTTGCAGGAAGTCTTTGTGTAGTGTATGTACACCTTCTGGCATCAAGGGCGGCAGGAGTCATGGTGTCCACCCGAGGTGCAGATGGAATCATGAGTACTTCGTTGATGCATTACAGCTGTTTTCATATCGATAGACCAGAATTGAGAAAATTCATTCAGCCGCTTTTGTTTGTTGTTGGAGCGACGCCAAACAGAGGCGCTCCATACTAGCTGCTTTTGTAAGTGTCTAACCTGACTTGGACTTGTGGGGCTTGTGTGGCCCTGTGGGGTAGTGGCACCACGCGCACTGAGTTACTGATCTGTGTCGTGCGACCAGCTGCACATGGTGATGGCTATCACCAACTGTAACCTCCATTGTCGAGCAGCGAAGCCCTCCGAGTCACCGTGCAAGACAATACAATGTTGTCAAAGGTTAGTGAGTCAGCTCATTATCAAATGGGGCTCCACTTAGTCTCTACAACCCTGGCATTTTAGTGAGATCGCACTCTTCGTCTCCGTCGAAAACAATGGTGTTTCGGACCATACAACAATGATGATCCATCCGGGCACTACTGCACTGTGGTATATAATCCTGTTAGCATTTTGGAAGGGGTGAGTCGCATCGTTCAACCCCAACATGTCTGACTCGAGTCCCAGTTCTCCAAGCCAGAGTCCTTCTTGCCTTATTAATGCGGATCAACGCGAAATCCTTGAACGTCGTTATCCTTGTGCTGGCTACTGGTTCAATATGCTTCCAACTCATCCTTTCATCCATGGACCTCCAAGTCAGCTTTCGCAGACTCAATTCCAAGGCCCTGTCAGCATGCCTCCTCCGTATTCACTCCAAGGGACACTACATAATCCTGATGATGTGGTCCGTCAAGATTCAGCCACTGCACCATCAACTCAACAGCCACGTCAACACGGCGCAAATACAGTGATTTGTAAGTACATCCACTGTATTGTGACGCAACTAGACAATATCTAACATCATGTGTGGTTAGCTGTTGCCAACATTGATATCTCAGTACCATTAAATACTGGAGTTGTAGGTGGACGTATCAGCCGTGTCCAAATCCGCCTTCCTGTCGATATTCCATTTGAAGACTTTTTTTCGCGTATTTGTGCCAAAATGGACCTGGACCCAGCAAACGCTGAACTTGGCTACAAGTTTCATAACGATCGAGTCCGAGATGACCCTCATCAGCTCTCCAATGACCAACAGCTTTGGGAGGCATTTGAGCAGGGCTGTGACCTCATCAAACAAGCTCGAAGTCGGCGAGTAGTTCTTGAAATACACAACCTGGTAAGAGAATACTCTAGTGTTCAAGTATTGCCCAACAACTAACTCATTATTAGAAGCCAACTCGTCAGGCAGCATCTGCCACCCATGCTCGTCGTGATGAAGCTGTCAATGACAGTCAAGACCCTCCAACCTCCATGAGCTTTGCCTCCGAGCTGCGAGAGCTCAAGAATAAGCTAGATTGTGAGAAGCACGGAAAATTCTGCTATATCAATCCTATTAGTGATGACCACGAAGCTCAAGACATCTATAACCTCACCCTCTGGGCGAAAAAGATAGTGAGTGACGAAAGTTCAGCATAACAGCAATGTTTGACTCATGTATTCGAAGCTCTTGGCAGAGGCTACCTATGAGAAGCCTCCGGAGATGGCTGCCTTTGACCATGTTCCAAAGAAACGACGACTATCTTCGGCAAACACCTCATCTGCCAGTGCAGCTCCCACCCTTCCAGTCATTCACGTCCATATTCCTCCTATCACTAAGGAGGCTCTTGGTGATACTGGTGGCCACCGTCGAGCCAATACTTCCCGAGGTTTTGCAACAACGTTCCTTTGCCATGACGAGGATGACAAATTTATCACCTACCCACCCATCACTGATGTTCTTCGCGAGATGGATGCCACCATGCCACTCTTGCATATGTCCCAATACAAGGACAGCCTCCTCAGTCATGGTGTTGCCTACGTCAATGGTGTTATTGGCCTATCTGATGAGTTTTTTGTTGATGTTGTTGGCATGCCAATGGGCGTCATTCGATCGTTCTTGAAAGTGACTCACCGACTCATTCGATACGCTAGGAAGGGCAAAGGAAGGGCCACCAATAGCAATGATGACAAAGAGAATTATGATCAATGCGGCTGCCGCGAGCAGAGTGTTGAAATTTGAATGAAGCTCGGAGATTCAAAGTCTTGTTTGTTGTAGTTGTCAGATGTCAAGTAATAACTGTCTTCATACAAGTCTTGTAGTATTGTGGTCAAGTAGTGTTGTACGAAATCTTGTATTGTCATTGTCAAGTAGTAGTATCTGTAATTCTACATTATCATTCACATCAAGTATCCACTGTCTGCAAACCATCCTCGAACTTTTTCCTCTGTCACAGATGCAAATACCGCTTCCCACAGCAGGCTATAAGGATCACAGGTGAGTTCACCTGTTAATTCACCCCTGGCATAGTCGCGGTTCCGCCTTATCCAAGCTTTGAGTGCCGAAAAGGCTTCTTCGATAGGGTTGAAGTCAGGAGAATAAGGTGGCAAATACACAAGGCGCATTCCCCTGAAGAAAGATCAATGGCATTACCCAAACGGTGACATTGAGATAACTTACCTTTGCTGAATCATTTCTTCAAGATATGCCGACTTGTGTATGCTAGCATTGTCCATCACGATGACAGAGTTCTTCTGTGGGAATGGGTTCATATTGTCGAGTAAACCCTCTATGAATTCATTGAAGGTCGCAGCAGTATATGGACGGTCTTGGATATCAAGATGTAAGACACCATCCAGTGAGATAGCTGGAAGAATAGAATATCTGAAAAGACAAACCGCTGTCAAGACACTCCTGTTTGCAAATTTTCGACATACCTTTGACCCCGAATGAAGTAATCACGCCGACAAGCACGCACTCCCATTTGCGACCAAGCATTTGGACGCTTGGTTGTAATTCGGTTACAGGCAGATTCATCTACAAAGACGAGCTGATCAGGACAGAAATTCTCAGCAATGAAAATTTGATATTGGTCGCGTTTGTCTTCGTTGCGCTCGATTGCAGTTCTAGTTACCTGGATGACATTGTCAGAATTTATATGTGCAAACATAGTTTACTAGTACATACCCGCTTGTGTGACAAACCATGCCTATGCAGCATTCGTTCGATAGTGGCAAGGGATACCTCAATACCCCTCACCTCCTGTAGTGCACTTCGTAGTTCAGATAGAAATATGTCGGGAGTACGTTTGATATGTGAGATGAGGTACTACAACAGTGAGGTATTAGATTCAGGATATCCTTGTGCTTTCACTTACTGTAACGTCCTGTGCTGTAAGTAGACGAGGACGACCACTTTCCAGAGGTTTTCGAACAACGGAGCCTGTGAGTTGTGAGAGCTGAAGAACACGATTGACTGTTCGATGGCTGCATCCCGTCACTTGTGATATGGCCTTTGATGTCATGCCATGTGTGGACATGGTAACCCACTGCTGTTTCGCAGCATCTGGTATATGTCGACGGTTTCCATTCATGATGATGATGGCTGGCAGTTGTTATAGTACTAGTACTGAGTCGGACAAAGGTAGCTTAGCGTGAGCGCCTCTGTTTGGTGTCACAAACAAAAGCGGCTGAATGAATTTTCTCGATTCTGGTCTATCAATATGAAAACAGCTGTAACCGACAACATCAGATTGAACCTTACCCTTGGAAGTGCCGCTACCCATCCTGTCTGACGGCGATCCACAAAGTAGCGCAGCGGTTGATTCAGTGTTTTGTTGGTGTTCTCACTTGCACCGTCGGTCTGTGGATGGTAAGCAGTGGACATTTTTAGATGTATACCTGTTAGTTTATGTAACGCCTTCCAGAACTTGCTAGTGAATATCTTGTCTCGGTTGGATACGATCTCCATTGGCAGTCCGTTTTCACAGTACCATTGGTTGAAGAAAAGGCCTGCTACCTCGCTCGCCTTCATGTTCATTCTGCATGGTACTAGATGTAAGTCTGCTCCCAACCGATCCGTGATTGTCATGATGCCATCGAAACCTTGTTCCACAGGTAAGGGTCCTACGAAGTCCATTGCAACCGATTCCCCGCGACCATCAGGTACAGGCAGAGGGTGTAGTGGTCCCTGTGGGTTTGTTATGTGACTTTTGTTCCTAGCGCACTCAGGGCATGAAGGTATGTAGCTTTCTTCGAGGTCTCGTCTCATGTTTGGCCAATAGAACGATTCACGCAGGGCTGCGTAGGATTTGTCGGCTTCAAAATGCCCTAAGTCGTAGTGTGCGAGGCGGAATAGTGTTTCGCGGAGGTGGGTTATTCGTGGGATTATGAGACGTTTGTTGATGTACAGTAGACCATTTCGTTGCTCTAGCCCAGGCAATGAGTCTACCAGTTTTCCCAATTTTACACACCAGGGGTCACTTTTGTACCCTTTTTTGATGTCTGAAGTAAGCGAGTTGTCGTGCATGATTGATAACACAAGTGCGACCATGTTCGTTCCGTTTACGACACTTGAAGGCAGGTTCACTGTTTCTTTTGCATAGGTAGGGACATCTTCGTCTTCAGGAGGTAGTCTTGACAGCTGTTAAGAACATGCTCAAGGGTCGAATCCGAAGGGCTTGGCTTCAGCTCGTGCACTGCGCCCCTTACCTGAGTACGTGCCCCTAACTTCCGAAGGCTGTCGAACGATGTCCGAAGGTTACCGGACAATGTCCGGAGGGCGTTGGGTGATGTCCGGAGTCCGATGTCCGATGCGCGGGAATTCCGGCGGACGTTCGGAAACAAGAGATAAGACTAATCCGGACGAAGTCCAAACTAGAAAGGAAACAGCAGAGGACTACCAGAGGTAGAGGCGGAGGTGACAAGTCTATAGGAATCAATCCTAAGACGAGCAAAGGTTGATGAGAGAGAAACTCAAGTCAGACGGAGGAGAGAATGAGCAGAGTCTAAGATGATATTCGAACTAAGGATGTACATAGATTCTACAGGGTTTATATACTACTGAGGACTTATCGGAGAACAGAGACGCGCAGTCCGAAGCTATACAAAGCTGTGGACGGAGCGTATAGAAAAGTCAAACGGTAGTCTATCGGAAAATAGTAAATGAACCTGGAGATTAGAACAGATGAAAATAAAGGCGGAAATGAAATGAGGTACAGAAAATGATATAGTCTAACTGGAGTAGGAACGTACAAAGGGATAAGGCATGGAAGTTAGATGCGGGTCGGATCCGGACATAGATAGATGTCGGCCAGATACGGACTTCCGGAAATGATGTGTGTGATAGGTCCGGGTCCGGAACGCGGGATATGACAACAGCACATCTGCCACAGTGTTTTCCTCCCCCGGTATGTATTCAATCTTGAAGTCGTACTGCGCGAAAAATTCTTGCCAACGTGCTTGTCGTCTTGATAGCTCTCGTTGTGTCATGAATTTTTCAAGTGTCCTATGGTCTGTGTACACTGTGAACGGTGTTCTGAGTAATTCTACTCACCATTTCTTGAGGGCGCGTACAATTGCCAGTGGCTCTTTCTCATGCACTGGGTAGTTGAGTTGTGCCTCTCGCAGTTGCATCAAGTCAAATGCCACCGGATGTGATGTTTGCGCCATCTCACCAAAGCTTAGCATTGCACCTGTTCTCCAGTCACTCATGTCGCAAGTGACAAAGATCTTGTTCTTCCCTAAGTTGTCGTGGTCGATTGTCACCAGGCAATCGCGTCCGACAACCAGTTGTTTGATGTTGTCGAACGCGCGTTGATGCTCTGCAGTCCATCTTGGCCAATGCAATTCTGTGCTTTTCGTTGTTAGCGGCATTAGTAGTCTGGTGTGGTCCGCCAAGTGCGGCAAGAATTGTTCAAGGTAGCGGACCAGTCCTAGAAATGTGCATACATCACTTGTGCATTTTGGCGCGGGCCAGTCCAGAATGTGTTTGGCCTTGGAAGTGTCCGCTTCTATTCCCACTGCTGAAATGTAGTGACCCATGAAATCTATTTCCATGCAGAACAATGAAGTTTTCTTGGGTGAACAGAATAGACAAGCTTTTCGTAGAGCGTCGAGCACTTGTTTAACGTTCCGGATGTGTTCGGCTACTGACTGCGACCAGATAATGATGTCGTCCAGGTAGGTGTGACATATTTTTCCGATTAGAGGTCGCAGCGCAATGTACATTCGCTGTTGGTGTGTTGCCAGTGCATTTCTGCCTCCCTGAGGCATGACTGTCCATTCGTGGAGTCCTTTTGGTGTATCAATTGCTGTGTATTTGATATCATCAGGGTGTATGCACGTTTGGAAGAAAGAGTTTGTCATGTCAATTTTACCGAAAATCTTACCCTTTGTGCAATCACGTAGGATTTTGTCGATTCGCGGTAGTGGATGATTGTCCGGGATGGTTTTTGCATTTAGTGCTCTGTAGTCATTTACCCATCTAGGCAGTGCAGAGGGGTCTTTCTTTGGGATTAGGAACACCGGAGAAACGAATGAGCTTGACGATGGGCGCAGTCGTCCCGCGGCCACATGCTGATTCAGTAGCGCCTCCCAAGCTTCACGATACTTACGCGGTGTGTTATACCGCCGGAATTGAATTATTTTGTTTGGGTCCTTGAGGTGGATGCGATGTACGACGTCCATAGGCAAGTGGTCGATATGAGGAATGTCGTCTGCGAACCTATCTTCATACTTACGTCGCATATCGGCATCCAAATGTTCCATCTGGTCTTTGTTCTTTTCGATGAACGCTAACGTGTCGATCCTCCATCGCAGCACTGATGCAATGTTTGGCGTTATTGATGTCATGTGATCTTGCTATTCATCGCATCGTGTTGTAAGGATGGAGTTCAGTTCCTCAATTACACATCTACATAGTTGTTGTGCATCTCTTTTCAAGGGAATTGGTACATGAGCGCGTTGTATGCGTTGTGGGGGATTTAACAGGTCATAGTCCGATGTTTTGTCGATACAGGTCCGTAACTCGTGGTCTATAAGAAGGCAATTATGAGATAAGAACAGCTCCCCAAGAAGCAGGGGCACAACAAGGCGCAGTGCGATAATAGCACGAATAGTGCGTGAACGCCAGTCATGATTTAAAGAGGACAGAGATAAATGAACATATTCCAAAAAGTAAAGAGAAGAACTGTCCGATGCCAAAAAGGCTGAACTCGCTTTGATTGCTTTCTGCAGTTTGCATCTTTGTAGACCCAACTTGGTCACAAGTTCTTCATTAATAAGAACTAAATGTGATCCGTGATCAATTAAAACCTCTATACGTTCGAAGGAGGCAGAAGATGGTCCCGATACAAGACACAGCCACATCAAATGAGGGACTTCAAAAAGAGCTACACACATGTCTTCATCAGAGTCTGGTATCTCCTCAATCACCGATGAAGGCATCACTGCCCCAACGGTAGCAATGGCAGCCACAGGTTTTGTTTTCTTGTCGCTCTTTGGCTTTGTGGTGAGTGTGTCTGCCTCGGTCAAGGTCTTGTAGGACGATGGGTCCAGCGGGCCGTCCACTCATTCCTTAGAGCAATGCGAGATGTAAAACTTCCTGCATTTGTAGCAGCCGTTGTGTTCATTGAGTAGAGTCCTTTCGGACTGTGTCAAGGGTCCGAGACGAGCTGAGGAGGATGTAGAAGAGTTGGTACATGAGGTTTGGAAGGGTTTTGTCGTTTGCGTTGTTGTTTGACATTTGGACATACAATATAGTTCCTCAGCAATCTTTCTGTGAGAAGTGAGGTCCTCGCGATGTTCGTTGTCAAGTTCCTTCACTCCTTCTATCCACTTCTTCAAAGTTAGCATCGTCGCAAGCTTGGCCCTTAGCACAGGAGTGACTAGCTCGTCACACATGTTGGCCTCTAGCTGGTTGCATAGCTGCTCATCCAAGAGATGCGCTGTATTGCCATATAGTAGAGCGTTAAGGTTTTGTAAGTCTAGTGCCCACTTGTAGAAACTGTGTGTGCCTTGTTGTGAGCCAAGCACCTTCTTTCGTAGTTTCGAATCCCAGTGGGTCTCCAACCATGCATCCTTTAACACTGTCATGTATTCTTTGAACGTTCCCATGTCTAGGGTGGCTTTTTGTGTCAAGTACCAGGTGTGTAGACGCACATCCATCATGCCGAAAGCGATCATTCTGACTTGATTCTTTTCTTCTATTTCTTTGTGCATGAAGTACGTCATACATGCATTGTCCCAGTCGCGAGCTGCTTCAGGAGTAAGTTCACCCGCTAGAAGCTTTGGCGGCTTACTAGGGGCGGACTGTTCAACTATGGCGGGTTTCATTGAAGTTCGAGACGGGGGATCTTTGATGTATGAGGTGTCTGTTTCGGAGTCTGACGATGAGTTACGACGAGATTTGATAACAGCAGTACAAGTTTGATTGTTGTTTGAGACAATATTAGGAACTGCATCACCAAAATTGCCAAACTCAGACTCCACGTGATATGTGCCCAAATTTGGACATGTGAGTATTACACATCAGTCATGTGCAATACACCCTTGATATAGACATATCAGCGCGATACCAGTCCGTCAGGCTCACTGTCTGGTAGACATCACCTTCTCTGTAGTGTACTTATCAGACATATGCTAGGTAATAAAATCATCCAGAAGGCAGATTATGTCGCAGTGCTAAGAGCCAAAACTCTCGACCAGGCCAGAGATATTGTGCGCACAATCCGTAGGTCAAACAAACGACATGAGGGGTTTCAGGATATGATTGTTAGAGGGAACAAAAGAAATTGGTATAAGGACGACGAAGGCAATCCCAAGCCGCTTCCGGTCGTCGAACTTCTGCTGGATGAAGCCACGCGATGGGATTCAGCCTATATTATGCTGAATCGTTTACGAACCCTGCGCAAGGTAAAGCTCCCCGAACTAACCATGTTGTCATGGACTAATATTTGCCCAGGCTCTCGATAGGTTCCTCCAGCAATCCCTGCCAGCGAAAAAGCTGACTCCAACGCAATGGCATTTCCTGGAGGACCTCAAAGTAATTTTAGAAGTCAGTATTGCTGTGTTCGAGACTCATGATGCATTTTACCATTTTATATTAGGTGCCGCACGCTGCTCAGCAAGTTATGTCAAGCGAAAAGACTCCTGTACTGAGTCTCGCGGTTCCAGCCTTCGAAGAGTTAATTGAGCGGTGGAAGGAGATTGCAACATTCATTCTGCACTGTGCGCCCCTTATCGAAATAGGCTTGACATGGGCTGATAAGTACGATGAGTGAATGGGTGCCACAAATGCATATGCAGTCTCAATGTGTCAGTACGGCAATCTTTTAATAATGTTTGATATCTCACATGATTTTATAGTCATCGATCCTGCAATTCAGATGTCGTGGGTTCAAAATCATTGGGATAAAACCCAAAGTAATGCCGTCAAGATGTTCATTCTTGATTTGGTGCGTCTGACTCACCAATACCACTGTTTAAAGTCGAACTGATCATTTGAGATTTCCCAGATGCATGCCAAGAGAGCACAGTTGAAACCCACTGAATCTGTCCAGCCTCCACGGCAGCAGCCACGCTCACTAGGCTCGTGCCGCTATGGACTCCCTGATGCGCGCACGCTACCGAGTGTCCACGAGGGTGCCCAAACGGTCGATCAGGAATTCAGGGCGTACAGCATGGCTACTCTCAGCAGCAAGGGGACGAATATCCTCAGATTTTGGCAGGTGAGAGTCATGTCTCCTCAAATTACATCTCATTGTTGACCACCAGGGGTCTGCCAGGTTTCTGAGTCGATTTTTCCAACTATATTCGCTATTGCAATGGACTTCCTACCTATACAGGCCTCTGCTGTTTCGTGCGAGCGGGTCTTCTCTTCAAGTAGCGAAACCGACACCAAAAAACAGAATCGCATCTCCCCAGTGCTGATGGAGGCCCTGCAGATCGTCAAGTTCCTCCTGAAAAAAGAGCGACTTGACTTTACTCAATGTTGGGCGGCATCCCAGAAGGAGATGGAACTCCAGATGTTATTGGACGACTCTGACTATGACGATGAATGCCCACTGCCTGATACCAGCAGCGTCACAGGTGACAGTTATGCTCATGATGCTCTTCTCAGAGCTATCGCAGAGTACGAGTGTGATGATATTGATGATGCTGCTACTATCTATTCCCCGTGATGTACATTTACTCTTCGTACTTGATTTTTATTGATTCTCGATTCTTACTTCTCGATCCTACAGTTCTGGCATTGTGTTTATTATAGACTGTTTTCAATCATTCCCTCGTGTTTGTGCACTTACCATTCTTGAGTTCATGATCCAGGATAGACATTTGCATGGTGGAACGTTCCTGCACCATATATCAACTCCTGCACCTCTAGTCCCTCATAACGCGCATGACCCTCTCACCCACCTTCTCACCCAACGACCCTGACGCTTCAATCGTCTCACTTCCATACACACGTCATCTATGAGGTCAGCATAAATGGAAAATGCAACAGTAACGTACGGGTTCCACAACCTCCCAGATATCTTTCCCCAGACCAGCACAATTAAACAGCCTTTGCTGATCAGCAGGTTCTCAGATGTCATCTGAAGGGAAAGCACAGTACTAATGTTCGTGTGGCGAGCAACCGGTCTTCACCTGCATAAAGTGGGATTTTTGCTCTGCTGAAGGTCGTCTTTCCCTCTGTTCAATTTCCTGATGTCCAGTGAACGTGAACAGTGAGTCCATGTTGTCACTGTTCTGGTACCACTACCTGAAGGTGTCGCTCCTCATAGCGTGTCGTTGGGCACTAAAGATTGGCTTGTGCAGGTACCACCACTGGTCCCACCCCACCCGCTGTTCCTTTCTAGGCTGATATCCCCTATGTCGTCGCGTATATCGCATTCTAGTTCCCGCACTGCCTCCCGTTCGTCCTCATCACCCCCTCGAAAATTGTGCCGGCCTCCAATCTCACTTCTGTCCCTTGCGAGACTCGGGCATATGTGCATACCCCCTTTCATTGGCGCTTCTGGAGTCATCAGTATGTAACCATCATCATCTTACCTTGTCTTTTTTATATCTCTTGTCAGGTTGGTGAAGGGTTGATATGGTCTCATGGAGAAACCCACAGGAGGTGCTTTTCAGCTCTTGTCCTTGCGCAAGCGACTAATTGACTTCCTGTGAATTATGCAGCAGAAGGCCCTTACGCCGGCATTCAGTAATGCAGCCATTCGGAAGCTCACATCGGTGTTTTATGACTCCGCATACAAGGTCAAGATTTGTGGTGCGAGAAATGTTTCATCTCTGAACTTGATATCATGCCTTACAGGCCAAAGGACAATGGGATAATGTTATAGAATCAAGCAAAGATGATGATGCGGTCATCGAGGTCCGGAATTGGTGCGTAGCTTTTCTAACTTGCAAGTGCCATTCCTAATCGAAATGATTCAAAGGATAAATCATATATTGTACGTGAAGATATTTTGTCATTGACGCCTCGAACTGACGGAACATTAGTTTGGACACAGTTGGCATTGCTGGTTTCTCCCATGATTTTGGCTTGCTCGATGGAAAGCCTGCCAGCGTGACTGAAGTGTTTGATACATTTGGAAGCAACCAAAAGGCTTCAGCAGTGAATAAAGTTTTTATCCTGCTCGCATCAGTATTTCCTATCATTCTCAAGATCCCCACTAAGTGGCAAAATCTGTTCAAGAAACTTGACGTTACCATGGGACAAATATCTAACGAATTGTTGATTCACAGCCGCCGGGAAAAGGATGTCAGCATAGGCGAGAGAGGCCAGGAAAATTATATCATCGGATTGTTGAGTACGCTGTCTGAGAGATTCATCGTAGTCTCTTAATTGACGCAGCGATCAGTTAAATCTGAAGGTCAAGATACCGAGTTCCATATGTCGGAGGAGGAAGTAATAGCTCAGGTCTGTGAAGATAATGTATCACAGCCATGATTTACGAGCTCACATCCCGCAGATGAAGCTCTTGCTTCTCGCGGGTTATGAGACAACATCCAGTGAGTCGGTTTCTTGCCCACTGCTGTCATACTGGCTGATTCTTCATCTACAGTTAGTCTTACGGTGAGTTTACTGCACGATTGCGTCTGCACGCTATTAATGTGATGACCAGTGGGCAATCAATTGGTCTTCGACCATCTGGGGACCTGACACAAAGGAATTTAAGCCTGACCGTTAGCTGACTGAAGACGGGATCAGTGGGAAGGCCAAGGAAGTCCAAGGTCATAGGCATCTGCTGACATTTGTCGATGGCCCGAGGCATGTACGGTTGATGGACGTACACTATACCGCCGTATACCATATACGGACTAACCTCATTTACTAACCTTCTCGTTGCAGTCTTCTTTTTGTGCTTACTTGCGTCGTCCTGCCAGACGGCATGGGGAGTACACGTTCGAAAACACAGATTGATAATGCCATACCATCAAAACATATACAAGGGAAAGGCCATTGAGACGCTCTGTCTCCCGCTGCTTCATCTCGACGAGTTCTCCCTAGCGCACCTTGCGACCCAACATCTTCAGCAACCAGCATCACCACTTCGATCTCCGTGCCCTTTGGATGACTTGTTCCGCTTCCCTTTGCTCTTGAATGACCCTTTCTGCTTCTCTTTGCCCTTCCGCAGCTCTTTCAGCCAATTTTCGCCTTGAGATGTAGCTTTGTGAAGCTTGCCGTGAATTCGCTCGATCATATACTTTTCGTGCGTGATTGAGGCTGCAGTATAACTAATGTTTGTTTTAGCTCTCGATCAAATGTTAATGAAATTATTCACATCATCTTGGGGACTCATAGTGTCCGCTATGCATTGATTTTAGGAGTTGAGTATGTTGCGATCGATTACAAGCTACACGCTACAGCTTCTTCCCTTTTCGGCTCTTCACCTCAAGTCTCGAGTCTCGACGACTCAAGTTTGTATCTATTTTTGACTTATAGTTTAAATTTCAAAAATAAACTCTAAAAATACATTTAATTTTATTCGTTTGAGCTGGCTTTAAGCTGTTAACTCGACTTAACTGCAGTGCTTTGAGCCAGACCGAACCGTAAATTATATAAGCTGAAGTCACGTGCTCCATTCAGCTATTCATAGGTCGGGTCACGGCTAAAACCAGCAATAAGCCGGAGCTGCAGCAACACTACCAGTGGTGGACGATGCAATTGAAACGGCCCGCCGGACATGAGTCCGGAGCTTGGGTGGTCCCGGACCCAGTTGAAGATGTGCTGATATGACCTTGCATACCTGTGATGGATGTGACCAGGCATGAGGTCCACTCTGCTAATGGCATAGATGTTCGCGTCTTCACTGCCGGTGGTGCCTCAGCAGCAGTGCGTGATCTGTGTGCTTGGATGCTGCAGATGGGTGTAAGCAGTGGGATCCACTTGGTGGTCACAGAGTGGATCGCCGAGTTGTTCTATCAACAATGACATCACCCTCCGTCGCGCATCCGATTCAATGAGGCGTCACTCCAACGCTGCCAACCTTTGACCGAATGCGTCTTCCACCGAGTGTACCTTGCGTCCAAATCCCTTTACCCACAATTTGAACCGAGCTTGTCAAACATTTGGCCGAGGTGCTGGATACCATGTCAGATACCCTGTGACGTGGGCTCTGGCACCGAGGCGGCAGTTGGTCCACCACAGCATGGTGGATTGATGGAAGGGCTTCTGTATCCATCCCTAGCAGCCATGATTGTGCGTTCTTCCAAAACTGTCCCTAGGGTGTCTGATTTGACATTTTATTCCCTCAAATGCTAACCGGACTCACAGTCATATTCGATTAGCCGCTTGTCCGGCCGAAAATACAACTGCACAAACACCCGCTACCGCAACAAGCCTTGGCCCACCTCGCATGTGAAGCGGTTGTGCCCTGCAGTGAACTTGGCCTAGCAACCCTACATTCGAGATTGTATAACATTTCTGCTCCGTGTCGCATAAGCGTGCTATACCGGTTGATGTTTTGCCGAGATGCCTATCTTATTAAATACCTTGTGGTTTTGCCCATGAAATACATAGATGCGAGGTTTCACTCCTCAAACCAACATATTGCGAAAGACAAGTGTGAAAAAAATCAATATAGCTATGCTACAATTATCAAACGCCCTCACGCAGTTTCCTATTTCAAGGCAGATTCACCCGCCGAAGTGGGCCGTTCTTTGCCGGAGATGTGAGATGATGCAGTAGCTACCACGGGAAGGGAAGCGTCAGGAGTTCTAGCAGGATGAACAATAGATGCAGATATTCCGACATCACCAACTGCACCCACTACCGCAGAATGATTCCATGAGCGATTGAGCCGCATATCATGGTACGACGGCCATGCATGCGCCCGCTAATCCGGTGCCTGTGTTGGCATGTTGCTAAGAGGGAGGTGCACACCAACATCGTCAGTGTGGTTCCGAAAGGCCACGGATAAATGCCCGAGCGACGACGACGACGCCTTCCAGTGTGCATCCAAGGCATTAAAACGCTGTTCCAACAACGTTAACCTCCAGTCCAACATCTCCTCCACCACATCTAATCTAGAGTCCAATGCATCCACGCGCTCGGTGGTAGCAAGGAGATCAAATCACTTGCTGAGGTCCTGAATGCTTTGCAAAATGTCTCTTCCGGATGGTTCGGGCGGGACTGCGCGGCATTCTTGAGGCTTTCTGACCGGTGCCGGTGGTTTAGTTGGTCCATTTACCGACCGAGGCACAACTCACTCTTGTGTATCCGCATGACCGGATGTTTGCCCCTTCGCACTGTCTGATGCAAGTTCTATATCGGTAGAGCACAATTAAAATTCGCACTACAAGGACATATGAGCCTACCATCTGGCGAATGTATTGTTGCACCACCCCGGGAGGTCAGACGCAGATGGGCTGGTGTCTTCCGGGGCGCCGTCTTTGCTCTAGTCCTTGTTCGTGACTTGGGCGCATCTGTTCTGGAGTGTTTGAAGCGCAGTTGGATTCCCGCAGCCACTTCGGCAGCTTTGGTTTTCGCCTGCATCCTTTCCCGGACACCAACGCTGTCAATCGCACAGGTTATCTTCATCTCGTCGCAATTTTTGCACGCAAGCCTCATGTTTCCGACCTTCTTGTCCGGGAGGACAATGCAAGGCATATCTAACTTCACACATTTGTTGCATTGCCAAGAGTGATACCGAATGGAATGCTGTCCAACGGGTGTGACAATGGTAGCGCCTTAAACTACATTCACTCACCTCTGCCGCTGTGGCAACAGTGGCATCACGACCCCAGGCGGCCGGCTGATAGACATTGTGTGAATATGAGATTGACGAGATGTCAAAGACCTACCCTTGTTCGTGCATCCCAGAAAGAGTCACGATCCATGTGGTCGGATGATTGTGTCTCCACCGGCCCCACAACTGCTGTGACCGTGGATGCTACTGCCTTGCGCTATGCAACCAAACATGAGCTATGGAACCGAGAGCAAACACAGTCATCACCTTCCGTGCAACGTGGATGGTCCCGGTCACCTTGTCGTCCTCTTCATCCGACATGAACTTCTTCTTCCTCTTTGCACCGGCATGCCGAGATAACGAACGTGGCGCCGGCCTGGTCGGAACACTCGCTCCGGCGACATTCCCATCTGCCACCTTGTTCACCTTCCCAATATTTCCTGCCGAAGACAGGTCGTTTTTGTTGGTCGCGAATGAGGGCGGGATTGGTGTAAGCGGTTCCAAAAATTCCCGCGCCATAGACAAGGGTGGTGTCTGAGGTTCTAATGCTGCGGGAGGTAGAAGCGATGGTGCTTCTACCGGTGTCGGCGATGGAGACATTGCAGTTTTCTGTGCTGCGATGTCCAGGACCGCGGGAGACGGTGGCAATTGGTTGGAATCGGTGGCCAGTGATTTGTTGGCGAGTTGAGTTGGAGATTGCGTCGGCGCAGTGGGTTGTGTGTCGGCTGGCATGGTTGTCGCGGTGGATGTTGAAGCGCGGTAATTATGGGTCTTGTGGAACCGAGGGTGACCCTTGATGCGTGGGTCGTCGTCGGAGACGGTGGTCCAATCGGGCAACAATACAAAGGTACCTCCCTTTGAATGATCACGTACCACAGCTGCACAGGACAGTAATTGGGGAGAGAATGACGTTGCGCTTCCTCCATATTCTCTCAAATTTTTTGCCTGTAACAAATTTAGTCAGCAGTCTTAAACTCGCTTCAGCGCAATGCTGTAACACAAACCACGCGTCTGGCAATCTCATCCGACAAAGCTAGAGCTTCCGTTGTGTCCCCTTCCTTTAGCTTCATGCATCGCTTGATAAGAGATTGCACCTCCACCAGCGTGTTATTCAGGGCATTGTTCGTGCCTTCGGAAGGTGTCATAGTGGTGGTTAAAAAGATGATGGAAGGTTTTTGTGTAAATGCGTGGATTTAAATGATAGTGTCGGCAAGAACGCGTGGCCAACATAGAAGCGCGGTAATTATGACATAATAGAAGCCGTTCCCAGATCAATTGTCCCATGATTTCGGTTACCACGTTCGGTAGTCCACGTAGTATATCTTTGGTTCTTCACTATCTGTCTTGGACATCATCATCTCAAAACAACTATGACTAGTAGACAAGTCCGTTTTGCTAGTCCAGCATATTCAGATGCTGCTGATACGACCTCTGGCAACCTTGACGTTGAATCCAACAGCTCAACACCCGGTGACAGGCCGATTACGACACAGTGCGCACTGGAAGAGGATCCAATTAACTGGTGGGGTGCCTTCGTGCCTTTGGAATCATGGACTCCACCGAATACGGCAATGGTGCCAAGGTTCCGGGGTATCGCCGGATTGGACACTTATCCCATATTCAAACATAAGCAGCTGGTTTAGAAAATTTGTTCTCTACCCGGCAACTTGAGAATTGAGCATGCCTAGCAGCATACAACTTCGCTGCAGAGCTTCCACACGGCTATGTAAGAGGGGATGATGCATCGGCAAGAAGGGAAAGACGTACGTGCGATGATCGGATGGACTTATACAACCAACAATAACTTGTGTCCCAGGTTACGATCTCTGTTTCAATGGCGACTCTGATGAAGTGATAATGATGCTAGCAGGTGAGAAGTTCCAAATGGATTCACTGTCCCGTCTTATGATTGGTGAAGATATGTACGTTGTGGAATTGCTTAGACGCCCGGGATTCAGAACCAGACAAATTATGGAAACACCGGAAGATAACAATACAGTACATCAAGGCACAACGGAAGGTTTGTACCACATGAACATAAACGGAACAGGCTGACTGGGCTAGCCATCAAACAGATACCGCCGGATCTTGGGCACTACAGCATACCGGAGGCGAACCAACGGGAACGGCAAATGTAGCGCATGATAGCTATGGCTCTGGATTGCACGGTGCAGTGATCGACACCTCCGCATTGGCTTCCGTGATGGCAAGAGAGGTAGACGATCCGTACGACTGTGGATGGGAGGATGATTCCATTACAGGAGCTCTAAGCATTATAGAGGACCCATATGACTGCGGGTGGGAAGAAGAGCGTGATGAGGAGTGGATCCTGCCGGATCCGCCGCATGCCAACGGACCGGCAGATATACCGGACATCAATACACTCCTCCAGGAGGGCAATGCAGACCCTTATGACTGTGGGTGGGAAGACACGCAGGACGACAAGGCCTTCCTCTCGGAGGGCCTAGAAGATCTGTATGACTGTGGGTGGGAGGACGTGCAGGACAACAAGACCTTCTTCTCGGAGGGCCCAGACGATCCATATGACTGTGGATGGGAATGCCTGTCCCATACGGATGCGCCCGCCTACGATGTTCACGAGCTTGCATGCCAAGATCGGGTGGACGTCAAAAGGTTGGAATCCGATCACATGACTATGACTGCGGATGGGATGGAACAAATGAGGTGCATGGCAAATCGCTCTACAAGACAATGCCGGATGTGATTAGCCTAACATCTTCGAATGAACCTGACCTCATTTCCTTAACGAGTTCCCGCAGTAACGGATGTAAGTCAGTCCCTGTGTTCAATACATATCGCTAATCTCGGCTATATAACAGCTGCTGCTCCGCCTGGCCGCCCGGCATCTCCGCACAATGTGTTCCAACAGGCGGGCGAATCCATGCGACGTGCCATGCGACGGCTGAATAGTATCGGAAATAGCGACCGTAGGTTTCAAACATCCGCCCGCAATCTTAAACTGACAAGACAACAGTCGATGCACACATTCAGGGCATAGTTGCGCACACCGCTGGCCTCGTCCGGAATCCGGAACCAGCGTGCACATTCATGCTCAACCGCGGACTATTTGGAGCTTATGCAAACGCAAGGAACGAAGTCACCAACCTTGGTTGTGATGTTGTTAACATTCATCGTCTGCTGAACATTCAGTGATGGCTTATGGATCCTTTAGATGCCATGATTTGCAGGCTTGAGCAAGGGGAGGATATCGGGTATCATGATGGTGGTAGATTAGCTACACCCAATGTTCCTTAGAGTGTTATTATGAAACAAGACAAACAGTATTAACAATGTCCAAATCTCCTCACGGGGTAGACCTTCAAAAATCAGGGCTGTGTAACACGGCCCTCCCAATCACTTCCGATACTCTATGATCAAGCCTTCACATAGTCCTTGAGATATCTGCTGTTTGGCTTCCGGCATCGCTTGTCCGAAGGTTGCTGAGAGGTCTTGCTCCTGGTGCGCTTGGATGGGGAACCCTCCACGTCTTCTTGAATGAGCGGTTGCCTCTTCTTCCGCGCGACCCGAACCGGCACTTGAGATGCTGTTTCAGCTTGACCTGCGCCCGGATGTCTTGATTTCTTGGAAGGCAACCCCTCAATATCATCTTTGGCTCGCCTCTTCGTTGCCCTACCACGGTCGTTCCTTTGGGGTGGATTTGTTGCCATTTCAGCTTGACCTGCATCCGGATGCCTGGATTTCTTGGAAGGCAACCTCTCAATATCTTCTTCGGCTTGTTGCTTAGTTGCCCTACCATGGTGAGTCTTTTTGGGTGGATTTGTGGGCAACTCCCTCTTGTCAGCATTACCAGATATTCCATCCGCCACCCGTGATGCCGGCCCGATACGACGGTGCACCGGAACCACACGTTTCATACCGCTGGCGGGATCGTGCTTTTCGGATGACTTGTTTTCCGACGTGGCATTGGTTTTAGTGATACTCCCAACATTCCGTTTAAAGCTCTGAAGCCTTCTTCCATCATCTGCAGACACCCCGACCTGCTCTGGGATGTGCCTCTCTACCTCAACAACAGAATCACTGCTAGAGATCGATCTGGCATGGCAGATTTCCTTTTTCAATTTATTGCCTTGCCGGCGATGACCGTCATCCGAGTCATTGGACTGGTCAGTGTCTTGCTCGCTCACAGTTGTGAGATCATCGGACTCGTCGTCGGAGGGTTCGATGATCCGCTTATTCCCTTTGTGATGTCGCTTGGTAACGGAAACCTTCTTGGTGGCCTCATTGGATTTGGTTTTTCCGGATGATGCTCTCTCCGGAACATTTTGTGATGCCTTCCTTGCCGTCAACCCGGATGGCTTCTTGACTTTGGTAGCGGGTTTGGTCGGTCTTGCAGCATCATTAGCCGCCGCCACCATATCCTGCTTATCATTGTCCCACCATCCAATAAAATCTAATATGTGCTCCTCGCCATCCTCTTGTCGGTTGTACCAGAACTGTAGGAGTTCTGTAGCGTGAACCTGTCTCAATTTTGATGGCTCGGCGAGATTGAATGCCACAGGAAGACATTCTGCCGGAATGATTTCGGTGTGCCTCAGTATCACGTATTTCCACGGAACAGAAGCCTTCTGGTCTCCGCAACACCTCCCTGATCATTTGTTAGAGAGTCTGGCACCTCTGCAGGACATGGACATACGGTAATGCCAAGTCAAAAATGCTCTGATGACTGCTTTATTAGTATCCAGATCCATCGAATCGCACACGGGCAGAATAGGATATCCGCTATCGCTGATGTCCAGGATGTAGGTGTTATCCTGTCGACCCTTCTTCCGCGAACCAGCATCATCCTCGACGTTACCATCTGGCTTTCATGAGGTTGAACTTCGCGGAAGGGCATTCGACAGGCTCACCGAATACATTCTCTGCGAATGAATCCCATTCTGGCAGGTTTACATCCCATTTGTGGGTCTTCATGAAAGACTCACCACCGCCATATTCATTGTTGTAGTCATGTCTTCCGATGACTTGAATATTTTATAAAATACGGATATATGCTCACTCACCCAGACACATTGATTTTACCCTCCACATTTTTCCAGGCAGACACCACAAATACCCTCATTCCGGCCCAGTTCCACATCTCGGATGCGAAGTGATGAATCATATCATCGCCTTTCTTTCTCGCAATGTCCGCCTCAACCTTGGCGGGAACGCCCTGATTGTTCCAAGCATGAGCTGTTTCTTTGGCTTCTTCTAGCTCCTCTGGAGAAAGAGATGCCATAAGCTCATTCAGCTGGTTGGTATAATGATTGATCATGTCTTTCGTGCCCGGCTTCGCACCAGTTTCATCTTGGAGTTTTTTGAGCAGCTCCTTCTTCTGGAGTGTGTCGATCACGCTCCTTTCAGTCCATTTTTGCCCAATCTTGATAGGGGGTTTCTTCGGCTTCCTTTTCAATCCATGATTCCTGAACCAAGTCTCGTATGCCTGAATAGTGTTATCCGGTCTATTCATAAGTAGCTAAAAACAGGAGACCCACCACTTTTCGTTCTTTGAGAAGTCTAATTGACATGACCGGTGCTTTTGTCCGGGCCTCAGTTGAGGCTGCCTTCGTGATCTTCTTGCGCTCTGATGGTTCAGCTGTGTCCCATTGCTCAAGGTAAGACCGTAGGACCTTAACCTCATCTTCATTGAGCTGGGGCTGCTTACTGGACTCAGAATCAGAGTCAGAATGAGAGTCAGACATAATGGACAGATAAGGGTAACAAACAGAAATGTGAGTGCGTGCTTGCCTGCCTAAGTGTTTGTAAATGTCATGTGATGATTTGCTCACCTTCATTTCGGCTTTTCAATCAGAGAGGGGTTTGCTCTCATAATTCTGCTGTCCAGGTTTTGCAAACCAATTCATCCAGCACCATGGGCAAATCAAGGGCAAGGGTATTGCCTCCCCGGGGCGCGGTGCAGTTAGTTGAATGGAAAGCAAGACAGACCACCCGGGGGCGGAAAGGCAGATGGTGTGCGGTGAAACGCGCTGAGCCAAGCAAATCAGCACAATCGTCACCACAGAAGTCTCCAGCAAAACAGCGATCTGATACATTACTGCCACACTCGCCGGACTTCAGTTTCGATAATGCACAGTGCTTTGATTATGGTGCATTTGGGGCGATCAACATGCGGTCAGGAAGGAAGAAGACAAAGGTGCATGTCATTGTTATTCATACACTTCTAGCTAACTATCCTCCTAGGGCCCAAATGATTACCTCCGTCTCCTGCTGGAGCGGGAGGCACCGCTGGAGGACAAATTTTGCTGTTTGTGTGGGGCACATTCAGTCGTATATCGATGTCATGGCTGTCTCGGAGAGCCGATCTTTTGCGCAAAGTGCTGCAGAAATGAACACAGGCGATTACCTTTCCACAAAATCAGTAAATGGAACGGCGACTTCTTTGAAGATGTATCATTGGCCAAGATAGATCTGGAAATTCATTTGGGCCATGGGGGATGTCCTTGTCCAGTTCTTGATGACATTTACCAGTGGGAAGATACTGACGAGCCCATATACAACGCTTCCGATGATTGCTCACCCATAACCGAGTTGCCCTTTCTGCACAAAAAAGAATGCATGACGGTTGTTGACGAGTCCGGAGTCCATTCTGTGATGATTAGGTTTTGTAAATGTCCAAATTCCCGGACCCCCGACAAGCAGCTATTTGAGCTCGGCATGTTTCCGGCATTATTTACCAGACTGAAGACAGTGTTCACGTTCCCTGTGCTAAACAGTTTCCTTCTAGACAATTTGGAATGTGGAACTTCCGTGATGAATTACTACAGCAAACTCCGTCGCATGACATCAAGTGTATTCCCGCATTTGGTACCGGTGGGTCACATATACAGAAAGGGGAAGGCAAATTGAAACAAACTCCCTATTAGGATCGGTACAGAGAATGAATGAGGGTCGGGAGACAATGGCGTCAGCTCAAATTTCTGAAATGGAACGGGTTCGGGCACAAGAGCCGGCAACCAAATCTGGGCAAACTAGCTCTATTCTGCCCGGCCTGTCTGCAGCCCAGTGTAAATGTCCCACAACCCACTGAATGTGATGGTAATCACCCGGATTGGATCTATGCTAGATCGCTGGTTATGGACGGGAACTTCAAGGTTGAACACTTACATCCCACTCACCCAGAGGATGAAGTTTGGCTTACCGATGGCCGTTGCTTCATGGTGACAAGACAAGCATACCAGTCTCATCTCACCAATGCCAAAGAGGTCATACAAATGTCGGAATGCAACAATCATCGTGCGGTGAATCAGGCAAACATGTCCCGACATAAATTGGAAGCGACCGGTATTGGCGGTTGCGCATGCGCTCGACACGGCTGCTTCGTACCTCACTCTATTGTTGATTTTCAAAAGGGTGAACGGTAAGTCTTCCCAAGTCCAGTCGTTAACCAATTAGTGACACCAGTCTTGAGGCATATGAATATGGACTACACTTTATGCCATTGTTAAGAACGTGCTCAAGGGTCGGATCTGAAGGGCTTGGCTTCAGCTCGTGCACTGCGCCCCTTACCCGAGTACGTGCCCCTAACTTCCGAAGGCTGTTGAACGATGTCCGAAGGTTACCGGACGATGTCCGGAGGGCATCGGGCGATGTCCGATGCGCGGGAATTCCGGCGGACGTTCGGGAACAAGAGATAAGACTAATCCGGATGAAGTCCGAACTAGAAAGGAAACAGCGGAGGACTACCAAAGGTAGAGGCGGAGGTGATAAGTCTATAGGAGTCAATCCTAAGACGAGCGGAGGTCGACGAGAGAGAAACTCAAGTCGGACGGAGGAGAGAATGAGCAGAGTCTAAGATGATATTCGAACTGAAAAAACTACAGAGATTGTACAGGGGTTTATATACTACTGAGGACATAACGGAGAACAGTAAGTGCAGTGCGAAGCTATGTAAAGCTATGAAGAAAACATATGGGACGACTATCACTAGTCTATCGGAACTTAGTAAAATGAAGACGGAAATGAATAAGGAACAGAAAATAAAGCGTACTAACTGATAAGGGAAATACCAAAGGGATAAGGCGCGGAAGTTAGACGCGGGTCGGATCTGGACGATACATAGAAGTCGGCCGGATCCGGAAATCCGGAAATGATGAGTGTGATAGGTCCGGGTCCGGAACGCGGGATATGACAGCCATGCATTAAGTTACAACACTAATGGGCTTACTCGCACTTTGACATTCTACAACATTAATTGCCAGTACATGAAGTATTTCCGGCGGCGGGTCCATGACAATCCGCATCTGAGCATTCCGACCGACATGGAAATCGTGCCCGGAATAGGTCTGTGGCATGTTCATGGGCATCAGGATAAGTGCTATGTTCATTACGCGTCAAGCTTCATCACAGGAGCTGCCAGGATTGATGGAGAAATTATGGAGACCTTATGGGCTCCGCTAAACATCATATCACCGTCCGCAAGAGGGATGTCTACTCCACATCGGCAGGAATGTCTCGATTACCAGATGAATGATTCTAATTTCATGAAGATGATCAGGATGAGTTGCGCGCCTGCATCTCCCCCAAGTGTACTACTGACATGGTGTAGGTGGATTTCTATGTCGGAAGTACCGCAAAGCAGCAAAGGGGGTGGCGGAAAGTAGCGCCGCGTTTGAAAAGCTGAACGAGACTGCCGATGCTATAAAAGTAGCACAATGGGAAGCGCAATATCAGGAAGCTCAACAGCGTCGGAATGGGGACCCATCGGCTATGCATGTGTTGGAGGTGCAGCTACGAAAAGGTGAGCCAAGCATTCTTCCATCCGATGCACGAGATCAAAGAGAAGCAGCACCAACACGGAAACAGCAAGAGCTGGTATTACTGTCCTCTAGCCAGGGACGTGCCATCGGGAATGCGCAATGTGGCACGGCTACATGGATTGCGTCCGGTATCACAATAGAAGAGATGCAAATAGCTCTCGCCATGGATGTCCGGAAGTTGGGAAGACACCCTACCGAAACGCAGAAATTGGACATAGGGAGGCGCCGGACAAAACTCCAAAACTGGATAGATGAATTCACCCTCGTGGCGGTCAGTCATCTGGGCAAGGGCTTCGACGTTGACAATGATATAATGGATATGAAGTTGGATTTTCTTGACAATTCCGACGAAGAGGGACATTTCGGTGATGGCACAGATTCTGAACGTAGTGTTAGCAACAATGTTTGGTGTAATCTTTTCCGACCTGAACATGTTGTGATACCTCTTCCGTCCAACATCAGTATAGAATGGTGTGCTGACTTAGCCGGAGATAACCTGGTGGGACAGGAGATTGCACTTCGAGAAGGGCAAGCAAACGACACGCTCCAAACTATTAGAGTGCTTCTAGCAGATAAGGCTGTGCTTTTCCGGACCACAGTCTGTCCAGCGAAATCTCAAGCCAAGTCAACCAGGGCATGGACTCAGGTTCATTCTGTAGAAAGAGTCATCAGACTCAATACAATGATTTATACGAAGTGCCGAACGCAACTCGGGAACCTTCAAGCTCATGGCCTACTGGAGAAATATCTCCGGATTGAGAAATGCCATCTCAAAGCTACTGCTGCTGTTGCCAATCCAGGTGCCCAGGGACAACGAAATTTCACACTGCCCTGGTTCTGGTCTCTCGATATACAAGGGGATTCTGTTAACAATGATTGGATGGACGAGTGTCAGTTCCGATCCAGCAATCTCTCGGAGCCAGCGCTGACCGATAATAGTTTATAGGGTCCATTGGCTCCGCACAAAGGCAATCCGCGACCGGTGGGCGGAAGAACAACTCCTAGTCACACATGAGATGGGATGGTCTTTGCAATTTTTCTTGAAGAAAGCCAGCACATGGTTGTCAAGGATTAAAGCCGAGGTAGATATATCATCGGCAGGTCACAGGTCTTATGCGATCAGGCAAGCTCACATGTATCATGAACTTGGTAAACATGCACAAGCAAGCTTCATGAAGGCAAATCTGATATTCCATACAATCACGTAAATTCTTCCCGTTCTGTGTCATTAGTTTACCGAAGATTATATCATGCACAATACACTTTTTAATGTATCTGCAGCTGGTAACAACAATGTCTGCCAGTGATTGACCATATCTCGGGGTCCTTTATGCCCGCAATGCCCTTTAAAACTCCGACTATATGGCGGACTTTGACTGTCATCTTTCAGGCATTTCCACCCTCGTTGCTCCCAGCTATGGCTGACCACCACTGCACAATCTTTGAATCTCTCGCGAGCTCATTTTCCATTTGGGATGCAGCCAAGATATTTGAGTATGCCACCTCTAGATTCACAACCATCCATATCTTCCAACTGGAAGACACCGAGCAATCGTGTTCGTATCAGTATTCATTTGTCAAGCATCTTGTCTGGGAGGCAGAGGCGAGTGTTTGTTGATGCTATTTGGAAAACTCAGCCAATCGGGAGCTTATAGCGCTTCGTCATTCCCTTCATCAGCCTTTGCGCGGCTATGAACATCAATACCAGCCTGCCAAGCTACCTGAGCAAGGTCCTTGTACTTATCACAACATTCCAAACAGAATCCAACGATTACCAGAAACTCTTCGCCAAATTTCAGGCCTGCCCGCATGACTTGTTATATGATAGATTGTACAAATACTGAGTTGTACCGCACTATCATCACCACTGGTGGAAGTATGATTTCCATCACAACCCCATGTGAATGCCCATCCGGTTGTTGGTAGCGGAGATAAAAGAACTTGTGAATGCCCATTTTTCCCAGCGGGTGAGAAACATGGTTGAGATGTTTGTCGCCGATGATGATCCTTCCTGACAGCCTGGCTTAACTCAATTGGTCCCGGAACCCATTGCCCATCCAGTGAGCCGAGATCCGCTCCTTCAACAATTGCATGTTCTCCGGACAGAAGTTGCCAGGCTCGGATTTGAACTCAGCAAAGTTCTTGTGACAAAACTTGAAGCCACCGGGATCGCAGTAAATGCAATGAACCGATTAGAGGGGCCGTTGGACGAGGTCTACAAGGCAATGGCAGCATCTCATGCAGCAGTGTCAGTGTTAGAAGGTGATTACATCAATGGCCGGATCGGCATGTCCCCTTCCTGAGAAACTTTTCCTAAATCAGATCCCTTTGCCGGCTGATGAAGCTTCATTGTACTCAGTATGGCTGCATATGTGAATGTAAACAGTTTGCCACTGTTGTCCAGCTCACCGGGTGCGAATGTCCTTTCAGACAAGTCCGGTTGCACAACAATGATAATATGTGTCATATTTGACGTTAACATACTCGTGTGAGCCCAGTGCAATTACATCATGAAATTGCTTGCTGGTGACTTAAAGGCGCAGTGTTTATTTAAACAATGTCCCTTTCTCCACACCATGGCATCCCAAAACAACTGCTCATATTATCATGAAGATGTTGCTGCCCTTGACCTCGATCCTCTGACACCTCTAATTCCGCAAGATTGGGCATTGAAGGCCGTTCACATGGCGAGCGAATGGGTAGAACAGCAGTTTGCTGCCTATGTCGGAGGTAGATCGCTTGTACCTGCTCCTCCGGAACTTGACCCGGAAACGATGCTCGCATGCAACCAGTTGGCATTTGTACTAGCGGAAGCATATCAGCACCCTAGTAAGTGGACAATTTTCGTGATGCGCAAACTCTAATACATGCAGTCAAATTGGATATTGACCTCATTAGGTACAACGAGGCGTTGGCCAAACGAGAATCAGGATTAAACGATGCACACGAAGAAGAATTGTTAGCCAAGTTCCCCCCCACAGAGCATATATTATTGGATCGACCTTCCGTTGTGATTGACGCCGGATACTGGATTATTTTATGGTATCTGCCGGGCGCGCTCAACTGGTCATTGCAGGTGAGCGGACGATTGCAAATGTGTTGCCGATGATGTTGATGGGTGTAACCCAGCGCGATATGTATGTCGCCACCATCAGAATGGGCGACTTACTTAAGAAGAGCATCACCCACGGACGCACATCCATACGAAATGCAAGCAATTGGAGAACCCACCATTCCAACTTTTACCCCGTGGGAGAGCCAGGTCTGATCCCCGGATGCATCAATATATCGCCTTGCTGGTTTCAGCAAGGCCATGAGGTGAATCTGATGATGAGGTCTATTGCACATCTGACGTAGAACAGCGGTACAGCCAACCACCTTTGAATCCGGATGAGGGTTTTATGCCAGAAGTGTCTTCTTCTCTGAAGAGCGATATGAATATATCTGTGATAACAGATATGCAGCGTCCGGGGCTGGTAGCATCGGCAGCCCTGCATGTGATGCATCCGCAATTATACCAAGCTTCGATCGCCACTCAAGTTCAACTCGGCCATTGGGCAGCACCTCAGGGGCTTCATCAGATGTCCCGAATGCTCCAAAACTGGGCATCTGTGTACACCGGTGCGGCGGTCATGTGCAACAGACAATCGCCGAACCATCGAGATCCGAAATGCCCTCCGGAGGGGTTAGATATTCTGACGTGCACAGGATGTTATGATCGCGCAGTCATGCAGTTAACAAACTTGGGGATCGACTTGATATATAATCCAGGAGTAATGGTGAGCTACTCCGGCCGGCTTGTGAGGCACGGTGTCCAGGTGTGTGAGGGGGATAAAATCATTTGGGTCTGGTTTATGCGTGATAGCGTGCATAACTATACTCGAACCCCACGTACTGAATATGTGCACTACAATCAGGCTGATTTTGCTAGGTACCAGCCCCAATAGTGTGCTCTCATTTATGTTCCATATATCTTGTATTTATGATGTACTACCGATCTGAAACCATTATCAATGCTGGAGATATAATTGTACCGTTTACAAGTTTTGACAACCCCTGCAACTATGAACTCATTGCTCTATCTTTGGGACTTTCCGGCAATATCAGGCAGCTGGCAACATATCTACTCGGTTGGCCGGCAATGCTCATGTCGCGCAATCATGAGTTCTACTGCATCCATGATATTGCGGTGGATATTGAGTAAACCATGAATGTTAGCAACATCGTCCCCGAGTTCGGTCACCCTGTCTCTTGCGTTTTCAACGGCTCCATAATGACTACTGTTGGATGTTGACGTTGTTGCCGGGACATAGTTCCAGATGTCTCCGGCAGATGCTACCACTATGGTGCTTACGAATCGGTCAACTGCCAGACATGTAAGTCATAAACTGTTACCAAATGACCACACCTCACCGCTGCCGTGCCTCTTCGACTTCAGCTGGCTAACAGCATGGCACATTGAGTTCATGTTGTTTACATGGACCAGGGGGACAGGCTGTGCAATCTAATGCATCGGCGAGAAGATAATCCATCTGAATCACTTACCTGCCTCTGCTTCTGCATCAGTGGGTGTCGTATCCATCACACCAGGTTGCATTGTAGTAGTTGGCTCGATGCTCATCAGTTTCACCAATCTACAAACACGAGGATCGCTCCCTGCGGTGGGCGTTTATTCAAAGGTCCTTCCATCCGGTAACCACAACCGACGGCTTACCTCCCGTCGATACCCACATGTTGGTATCCATGACGTCATCCCAGCCGCAGTCATAGGGATCTTCCCCATCCAACGCATTCGCAGCTTCTGGAGAGATCTCACCGGTCCATAAATATTCATCAGTATCCCCATGCTTTTGGCGACGACAGCATCTTCCCATCTGCAATCATGCGGGTTTTCCGTGGAATGATCCCAGCCTTGGTCGATGTTTGTCTCGGAGGGCCCATCCCGCCATCCGCAGTCATGAGGATTTTCTTTGATTTCAGCAGTGACAGGATCGCACCATCCGCAGTCATACATGTCTTCCTCTGATGCGAATGCCGGTGCGACATTGTAGTGCGACGTGACATCCGTGGCGGCTGAATCGGAAGGAGTTTCAGAGGTGCTTGTTGTGTTAGATGGCTCTCCTGATGGAGTGGTTGCTGGGCCGGCTACGCATTTTGATCTCATCAAGTCTCCAGCATATATGTCTTGAAATGTAGATTAGAAAGGCTGGCATCGCCTACAAAGCAGCAAATACCGGCCAGCATGCTTGTTATTTTATCATCGTTGCCATTAAAACATAGCTCATATTCTGTGAGTCAACCTCAGTTGGTGCAGTAAGTTAATCCGGTGATGACGTACCTTTGTCTTTTTTTGCCACCGGATCATCACTAGATGGATGCCAGTCAGGGAACTCGGCAGCCACATCATATGCTACAATGGAGAGTTGTCAGCGCTATCAAGTCAAACAGATAGAAATATATATACCTTGGAACTTGGGATAATTGTGCATTCCAACGATTCCTTTGAACTTCAGTTTTCTTGTTAACCTCAGGGGACTCCACAAATGTAGTGGTACGAAAGGGCCTAACCAGGCAATGAAATCTTTGTTGAGTGGCCCGACGGCCGGAGTGTTGTTGGGCTTGCTACCAGAGGTAGAGTGATGAGGCTCAGCTTGTCCAACATCTGAGTTGTCGGGAGTATCGAAACTATGTTGTCCTGTCATCAGTAGTTCTCACCATGAATATAGATATCGGGGAGGACGATGTGTGAATATATATGCTGGGTGGATGGTCGATACACGACAAGCAAGAGCATGCAACAATAGCACTGATAGTTACGTCACAGATTTTGCACCCAGTTGATATTCTCACGGACCGTGTGTTGCCGGAAACACCCACAATAAATGTTCCGATACAAACCCCGACATTTATTTCTTTTCCAAGTCTTCTTTCAGCCTCTTCCGTTTATCGTGTCCCTGTTACCAGCGATCTCCTTACTTACTGCAATGACACCTTCGGAAGCCGCTAACAATGCGCTGAACAACACACTGGCAGCTGTGCAGTCCCTGATACAGCATTGTCTCGAGTTGAAGGAGGCAGATCAAGAGGCCTTGAAGCTATCGGACAACATCGCCAGATGCGTGGTGAGTTTCCTGCCTCTTTGCTCCCAAAATTTAATAGGAATGCTGAAAAAATTTGCATTCAGGCAAAAGACTTAAAGCTTCATGGGGGGAATGCCACGTCATTCTCCCCTCTGCTACTATCTTGTGCTGCTGTTGTGCAGCAATACTCAAAGGGTGTGCCTTTGAGACATTGCCAGACTGGAGCTCCGTTAGCGACCAAGACCCCCAAATTGCGAGCCACCTGCGATTCAAAAAGACAATCGACTACCACCCTCCTACCGTCGTTGAGGACGTCTTCAAAGCTCCACCCACGGCATCCGTTCCCGTGTTTGAGACAACCGCGATCGAAGTGATCGGAATGTCATCAGCGACACTTCCGACAGCACAACCTGGCCACAGATCCAAGTCCACCGCATGTCCGGACAGGACGCCTGCACCACCATCGCCGTGTTCGACGGGACTAGAGTCTCTCACACCCATCACTGCTCCGCCTGCGGCCCCGATTCTGTCAGAGCTGCCCGCACCTAAGGTCAACCTCTTTGTGGTGGGCACCTTGAAGACAATGGCAAACAGGATGCCACAGGTCACGAAGAGCAGGAAAAGAAAGGCAAAGCATGATACTGATGATGAAGCGGTGGACTCAAGGAAGATTGCGCCCTCCTCTCAACACAAAAAGCCAAAGCGGCAGAAAGTTCCATCGGAATCAGAGGTATGTCTTGACTGCAGACTCATTTGATGAATGTCCCTTATCCATTCACAACCCAGCCAAAGGTAGCAACACACCCAATGGCCATGGACTCATCGGAGGTAATCCACACGGCAGATAATTGAGGTTTCTGGGATCAAGACACCAGAGTGCATTCTGATCGCCGTCATGATCTCCGGTCTTAACTTGTCTTCTTCCAGCCTGTCGATTGGGGTTTGGATTCCACGATTGCCACGCCGGCCGAGGCAAGTGTTATTGGCATGAACATTGCTCAGAACTAACGAATCTATAGCATTCCGTTCATCACCACGCTAGGAAATGTGACAAGTGCGCGAAAATGGATGTAGCCTGTCTTGTTCTGCCGGATAAGAAGGTCGGTAGCATGCGCCTCGCGTGTGGCAACTGCGATAGCATGAAGATTTCATGCGCAATTGACGGTGTTGGCGTCCAGGAGAGAATGCAAGGAAAGTCAAAGGCGAAAGCTGCTGAAGTGTCTTCCAATCCGAAACGTTCTAGGACCCGTCCACCGAAGTCTCGACGTACAGTGAAGTCACCTCCCGTGCATGTTGATAAGTCGCCGACCTCCACACCACCCCATACACCCTCCCTATCTTTACAAACGGTTGTTGAAGATTGTGGTGAGTCTCGTTGTCTATCAGTCAAGCGTCAACTCAATTTGCACGAAGATTTGGAACTGACAGATGCTGAGGCGGAGCCTAATGTGATGGACGTCATGCCGGCCCAATCAAATGCTGAACCTCACGCGATGATGCAAACTCCCGATTGTGAGGTCCAACCAGACATCGCACATGCTATCATTCCCGAGCCCACCCCGAGGGAGATGCTGCAAAGTATCCAAGAACTCGGCCGGAGATTTGATCTCCTTGCAACCAATGACCGGGTGGATGCACTGGACGCAAGAATTGAATCAGTAGAGGGTCGCATCGGTCAACAGTTGGCGATGTTGGAGCAATGTATCAACACGTCCGATATTCAATGGAGAGCCATGTTGGCATCCGTTGGGCATCTCACTTTATCACTCTGGGATCACAAAGATGATGTTGCAGCACATCGTCATCCTATCAGCACTGCTGGTTATGCGCCTCTGCAACATTCGAACGTTGACCTTCCACAATGGCTTTGTCAAACCAAAGACCCGAATATCTCGGCCATTGGGCGACAATGGACTCATGCCTGGGATCCTTCTGTCGTTGTGGGTGGGCAGGGCTATGTCAGTACATCTGCATCGGTTCAACAAGCTGCCGATACTCCGGATACTCCTGTGCTGTGGGCCAACTCTGTTGCATCTTCTCGACTCTCCAGTGCGCCGTCTCCCACACCTGACTAGTAGTCGTTCGGCACCATATACAAGTCACAGTATTTCGCTTTATTGATATTCGAATTTTGCAGTCCTTTCCTTGCACCGGCACATTCACACAAGGTCATTTCAGTTACACTTTCGGTAGTTGAGCTACCTTACATTCATATACTGTGATCTGATGTACATTCTTGCTTTTGATTCTTAGTGATTACACGCCCAGCTAGTTCTTTATTTCGATTACCATACAGCTAGTCATGACCAGGTGAATTGAGCTGACATTCTATGGAGAGTTAGCTGAAGAATATTGTAAATCGACAAAGCCGGATACGTGTTACGCCGGCAGTCGCAGGCTAGCTGGAAGCAGCGCCGCTCTGGCCCGAATAATGTATGTATTATGCCATAGATACCTAGTGTATGCACTAATCTTTTCAAGCAGTTATGAACCGATTGATGGAACGTCTCTAGGCTTTTCGGGAGCATGTCAAACGCTGCCCCGAACTTCATCTGCACCAAATTTCTTCTCAGTACGAAGGCGTGTGTAGGGACCCCACTCCAGGGAGTACACCTCGGCAGTCTTCATTTGCACCCCAAGTTCGGTCCTCAAAGCTCTCAAACATCCCCCGCGGCTCTCGTATCGCACATTGAGTAACTTGTTATCGCCAGTTGGGACGAACATATTGTTTTCTGAATTTTTTAATCATGCAAACACATTGAAATTTTTGAAGATGTCGGCGCTGGAGCAGCAGAGTTTTAAAAGAATAGGTATTGGGCGCAGGAGCGCGTGGCGATGGCAGGGGGTCATGCAAATACAATATCGGAAGGGATATGATCTCAGATATGTGGTTCATGGGCTGAGAGTATATATTTGTTCAATGGGGGCTGATATCTCTTTGCTCACCGGTCTTGTCATCCAAATCCGGACATTTTCACCGTGACTGAGGTCGAATCACATGATGGACCTACCGAGAACCTTCCACGATCTTCACCGATGCTGCACCCAATTGCCATAAACCATTCCGAGAATGCATGTATACGGTGTACGTATTGCTGGTTAGGCCCCATCATGGTGACGGTCCGGTGAAAGAACAGCGGATGTTGCATCCGATGTTTGTCACCACCGTCTACGTATCAGCATCATTTACAAGAATGTACATGATATGATTATGTGAGTCTTGTCCCGTCCGCATTTATTGGGAATGACAACCCATCTATACACGGCGGAAGACTTTGTGAGCACACAGATTCACGTCTTGCCCTGTCCGTCACCAGCAATAACAATTTATTTAGAGATGACCGGATGTGTGAGGGATGGTCAGGTCCATGCCTTGGCCTATCCATCAGTACGAATTCAGACTTTATCCGGCTATGACCGAACACCTGGCGGGATATTGGAGTCCATTTCTCGACCCATCTGTTAGTACTAGAAAAACAGTTTATCCATAGATGATCGAAGACCTGGTGGATACTGATATCTGACCCATCTGTCATTGCCGGAAACAACATTTCATCCATAGACGACTAAAGACAGTTCATTCCTTGGCCCGCCCATCAGTGCCGGAAACAATTCATTTGTAGATGTCCGAATCCTGGGGAATTGTCAGGTCCATTTTTCAGCCTGTCCATCATTACCGGAAACAGCTATTCTTTTTATAGGTGACCAGAAGACATGAGGGAATTGTCAGTGCTCGGTCCATCCGTCGGTATCGGGGCAATGGATTATCTAGAGGTGTCCGAAGGCTGGGAGAATCTTCAGGCCCATTTCTTGGCCCATCCGTCGGTACCAGGAATGACCCGGACATCACTAACGGGTCCACTTCTTGGCCCACCCGTCCCTTCTATTTTTGTCTCACCTGGTCTGCAACTATTTGATATTGGCCCACCTGTCATTACTGTTTCCTGACCGGCCCATCCGGCCTACTTGTATCATACTAATGGGCCCACCCGTCCCGTCCCTTCTATTTTTGTCTCACCTGGTCTGCAACTATTAGATATTGGCCCACCTGTCATTACTGTTTCCTGACGGTCCGGCCCATCTGGCCTACTTGTATCATACTAATGGGCCCACCCATCCCGTCCCTTCTATTCTTGTCTCACCTGGTCTGCAACTATCAGATATTGGCCCACCTGTCATTACTGTTTCCTGACTGGCCCACACGGCCTACTTGTATCATACTAATGGCCCACCCCGTCATCACCGGAAATTATCTTATTGCTTCATGACAGGCCCGCATACCAGTAGCCCACCCGTCACCAACGGAAATTGTCTTTGTGGCTGGCCCACCCGTCCTATCTGTATATGGGCCCGCCTCAGATGGCCCACTTAAGTGGGCAGATTCTCAACCTTGGGCTGTTCGACTAGGTCGGAAATAATGTACTGAATTATGTGTCATGTTGACGTCTTGCAGGTCTGATTCGGCATCAGCTCCAAAAATATATGGACTGAGGTGGATGGTGACTTCAAGTATCGTAACTTCTACCATAACATTGTTGAGTTTATCGAAGACTTGCCTGATGACGACAGGGAGCAATTGTTCAAGGACTGGAATATGTAAGACACCTTTTTCAATTTTTCATTGTACTGACGTCAAATAACAAGGAAACTGTTCAAGAATGAGGATGGACGTGAGGTGGGAAAGCACGATGTCGACGACTCTGTGCCCTCAAGTGCTCGCGATGGCGGCAGTGACTTGGCTTGCTTGCATGTGCAAATGGCAGCTCACAATGCTGCAGTCAAGACTCGCACTGCTACTGACTCAGAGCACCCAACTGCACCTGCCACAGCTCATCCACCACCTGCTCAAGAGAATATTCCAAGGACGCCTCCAGCATCTTTTTCACCAGCTCGCAACATTTTAACCCCATGTCCTGTTCCACGTCCACGTCCTATTCCTCAACCTGCAAAGACACCAACCCATCCAGTAGGTGCTCGGGAGGACTCACCAGTACCTGAAAGGGCGCCTCTATTATCTTCACCTACATGCAACATCCCAGTGCCCTCCGAACCAGGATCTCCATCACCCGAGCCTGCACCAAGTAAACCCGTGTTGCAAGCCCACAGTGACGCATCTGGTAGCGAGCTAACAGAGTCTGATGAGGAAGAACAACATCAAGCAAAGCAGAAGGCACCAGCCAAGCGCAAGAGGAAATCCAAGGCAGCCGCTCCCGTCAGGAAACCAGCCGCTAGATCGACAAAGAAGCAGAAGAAATGACCTCCACTCTCGTCTCCGGAACAGCTCGTTTGTACTTTTTCCCTGTTGCTTTCTCTTTCATTTCCATTGTGTTTTCATACCTCACTCGCACTCACATACCTTGTACTAACTGACAGACAATCAATTTCATGTTGTATCGGAATGAGAATGGAATGTTTGAATATCTCTGAGTGACGCTCAATATCTGAATAAGTCTTGGTGATACACGATATCTAAATAAGTCTTAGTGACACAAAATACTTCTACTGCAGCGACAACATTAACCTTGCCTCACGTCGTCATTAGCATTCCTATGGATTGCTAGACAGGGCCGGGTTTGGGGCTGACACCGTCGACATGTGTGATGCCCTAGCCATTGTCAGTTACCCCCATGTCTGGCCAAGTCTGAGTTAGGCAATTTTGGTGATGTGATGTAGCATTGTTTGAGGTAGGTAACGGGTTCAGGGGTACAGGCAATGGTTGGTTTTTTGCACGTGAACGTGTGATCAGAGACTGTTTGACAGTTGGTTCCCCCCGTTTGGGAGGCAGTTTGATGGTTGAGAGAGTGGGCGGGTAGCCCAGTGTAGAGACTGACATCTCTGTGGCCTCGTAGAGGTCTAATTTCCGATGCATGTCGAATGCTAATCATTACCCGAATCATTCCCTATCATATCCAACTCAATACACACCGAACCCGAAAATCATCGGACATCGGACATCGGACTATCGGACTTTGCATCGGACTATCGGATATCGTGCGCACTCATCCTACCTATGTCCTGTGTCATTTTGCTAGCCCCACTAGGTGCGTAGTTACTTGTTTTCACATTGCTAACATTGTAGACCACATTTTACATGTCCGCAGCACCTCATGTCTTATTACATAGGACATCGGACCCGAAAATATTGTGCTACTACTTTCGCCTATAGGGTTCCGGACTTCTACGTATCTACATAAATATTGGACTCCCCATAGCATTACCATCATCCAAGTGGAGGAGAGCCGTTCTCCAACGCTTAGGGGTCAAACCCGATATTTCGTAGTTCTTAGTTGACATTGCGAATATCATCGTTCCTTCACCGCCCGTATCCGTCATCGTTATTATTGCGCACACCTCTCGCTTTCCCGACACTCGCTATAGTGTTGCTATTAGTTTCCGACAACCCGAACTCAAACCTGAAAAACCCGAAACCCCGAAAACATCGGACCCGACGCTTTTGCATCGGACATCGTAATTATACCTTCAGACATTGTTTCCCGTGCTCGGACTATTGACCCCACATCACTCACTGACCCCCAAAACTATTCCCAGACTGCAGACCCCTGGGTCAAACGCACTTGTCTCACCAAGTATTCCTACACCAGCGGTTTGAAGGTTCGACTTTCATGAAGTACACGAAGTTGTTTCTATTAAAAAAAAAGTGGAAACCTGCCAATATCTCGGCGGGAAACACTAAGTGAATCGAACGATGAATAATAGGACAAAGCCGTGAATTTCCGAAGCATGATATAAAAAGCAGGTAATGGTAAGTGGTCAACCTGAGCGTAAGTGAACATGACATTTTGCGTGAGGATATAAAGGGGTGATCATGTGATGCAGTTACACAGCAACTGCTGAAATCAGTGCCATGCCTGAAATCAGTGGTGAATAGTGTCACAGACACTCAGAGATATTGTTCATATACAATTTAGACTGCCAGTTTTTAAGAGATGTGATATACCAGACGTATAGTTAAGCAATCCCTCAATTAATTAGCATTATAGAACATCAGATTATACAGAAATATCAGCCATCCAGAAAAATATAAACACAGGCTTGCAGAATTACACAGCAGACTGTGTACAGCCTGACAGGTATCACAGTCACTTTGACTGATTAGCAAAGCAAATTAATAGATTGACGATACAACACATTGTAGAACTATGTAGACTTTAGAATAGGATTGAATATAATATTTTGACTGGCTTTTATTATAAATATCACTACAGTATATATACTAAGGTACGCTAAATGTAAGTACCTGGTCCGTGTATGTGTAAGTGCGGACTTGTTCATGGTCCGCGTTTTACGATGACAAATCATGTCCGTCTTGGATAACTCCGGCTATTAGTTGTTCCCTACATTACTCATACTTCTATGTATTACTAAGCTTTCCCTGTTGTGCTCGTACCTTCATTTCCATTATGCGCGAACTCTAACACTCCCCCTCAAGCACAGCTTACTTTCATTCTGTCCCTCAATCTTTTGAGTCTTGGCTTCAGCAGTGCTTTTGTGAAAGCATCTGCGAGGTTATCGTCTGTTGGTACGTACTCCAATTCTATTGTGCCATTTTCGATAACTGACCGAATGAAATGATAGCATATATTGATATGCTTTGTTCGAGCATGGAACTTGTTGTTTGAGGTGAGGGCGATGGCGCCTTGGTTGTCTGAATAGATGGTGATAGGTGCGTCCTTCCTTTTATAAAGTTCTTTCAGTAATGACTGAAGATATAGCACTTCCCTCATTGCAGACATTAGCGCGATGTATTTGGCTTCGGCCATCGACAATGCTATGATTGTTTGCTTCCTCGCGCTCCAAGCTATCAGCGATCCATGCAGCTGGACCAGGTACCCTGAGATAGAGTGCCTGTGGGCTTGGCTTGCCCAATCCGCGTCTGCATAAGCCTCTAGATCTTTCTCTTTCCCTCCCAAGGTAAGCTTTGCCTTCTTTGTTGCCTTCAGGTAGCGGATGACACTTTTTGCTGCCTCCCAGTGTGACTTCACCAGTTCACGCATGAACTGCAACAATACCGACACTGCTAGCGCTATGTCTGGCCTAGTGCAAGTTGCCGCATACATTAGCGATCCAATCGCTCTCTGGTATGGTACCTGTTGTTCGGATATTTCAGATTTGGTGCCTGGTGAATGGTCTGACTGTTCTTCCGTCAGCTGTATTCCAGTCTCCATGGGAATGTGTGCTGGTTTTGCATCTTCGAGGCGGAAGTGTTCGACAATGGTGTTGACATATGCTTCTTGCGACAGCATTATGGTTCACACGCTTCGGTCTCTCTCTATCTTGAGACCTAGCAACCAGGTAAGTTCTCCCAGGTCTATTATCTCAAATTTCTGTCGCAGCTGATCTTTGAACTTCTCTATATGTTCTAGATGCTTTGACGTCACGGCCATGTCGTCAACTGATACCATGATGATGGTGTGCTCGTCCTGTTCCCTCCGATAGTACACTGCTCGATCAACTTGCGAACATGTGTATCCGGCTTTGAGGAAGAATTCTTCTAGCTCCTCGGACCACTCAAACCCAGCTTGCTTCAGGCCGTATAAGCTTCTCAGCAGCTTCAAGACCTTTCCCTCCTCTCCCTTCTTCAAGTATCCAGATGGTGCCTGCATATACACATTGTCCTTGAGTGTAGCATTTAGGTAAGCACTCTTTATATCCACTTGGTGCATCTCCCAATCGTTTCTTGCAGCCATCGATAGGACCGTCTGAATGGTTGTCATATTGGAGGTGGATGCGAAGGTTTCTTGGTAGCCTATGCCGTACTCTTGGTGCTGACCATTCGCGACAAGTCTTGCGCGCAGCTTTACCTTTTCGCTGTTTGATTCGTGCTTTGTCGCTAGGACAAAATGGCAAGGTATTATATTCGCGCCTTTAGGTGGGTCCACTATTTCCCATGTCTTGAGATTCTCCAATTGACTAATCTCATAGTCTATGGCTTGTTGCCATTCATCCGCATCTGGTCCGCTTAACGCTTCCTTAAGTGTTGGTTCTCTTTGTGCGGCTGCCATAGCCTGATATAAGAGAAAGTTTGACTGTCCCTGGTCCGGTGAGTCTTCTGTTGCTAATGACGCATGTTCTCCTTCATTTAGCATTTTATAGTAACCCGGAGGGGGTTGTACCCTTGTGACTTTGGGCGTTATCGGATCTGGCAGTTTCTGTATACTCTGGGGTGGCATTTTGGGAGGTTGGCTTGGTGTTTGGGGGACTTGGGATGTTGCGACGGGCTGGACAATATTCGGTACGTTGATCGGTTCTTCCTGGTTATACTCCCCCTCGTCTAGTACGTCATTACGAATGATGACATCTGGTGGGACAAAGCTAATGTTGCGTTTGACAGATACTCTTCTCTTCTTCGGCCAGTATACTCAGTAAGCTTTACTTTCCTCATCTATACCCACAAATTGACCTTCTTCTGCTCTAGCTTCGAGCTTTCCTCCATCCGGTGAGTGCATGTAGAGTCGTGCGCCGAATTCCCGTGCGTTTACTAAACTTGGTTTTGCTTTATGTAGCAATTCATAGGATGTGTATCCTGGGATCGCCCTCGAAGGTAGGCAATTTTTGAGCCATGTTGTGTAACTGACGGCTTCAGCCCATGAAAATTTTGGTAGGTCCTTTGCGAGTAACATGGCTCGTGCGTGTTTGACTAACGTTCGATTTAGTCTTTTGGCTACACCATTCTGCTGTGGGGAATCGTGCATGGTGAGTTGTCTTTTTATTCCTTTTTCCTTCAGATATTCATCAAACTCCTTGCTTAGGTACTCTCCTCTTCGATCTGACCATACTTTGCGCAGACACGCATTATATTGTCGGCTTACATAAGCCTCATATTCCTTGAATGCGGTAAGTGTGTCACTCTTTCTCTTCAGGAATGTTATCCTTGTTTCCCGACTAAAATCATCTGTAAAGGTGATATAATACAGGCATCTGTTTATCATTTCAGTTTGCACTGGACCCCATAGATCTGTATGGACAAGGTCCCCATATGCGGATGATCTGGTCTTTGATTCATTTGAAAATGGTTGTCGAGTGGCTTTGGCCTTTGCGCACATTTCACAAAAGGTATATCAAGAAGAACTAAACCAATGAATGCTTACGATTAAACAAAATCATCAATTTTCAAGTTGTGTCACTCTCAGATTCAGTATCTGAAGCAAAACATGCTGCATGTCCAGATGTTCCGGTTGCCCTCAGAGTTATGGCCCCTCTTGATCGTGCCTTAGCTTGATAGTGTCCTTTGAAGGG